GTATATCCCTCCAGATGTTGTCAGACATCAACCCTCAAATGTTCTTGATGATGCCTGTTATTGAGTAATAATGATTGGATATATTTATTAATTGTGTTGTGGTGCTTCTGACATGAACACACACACACACACACACACACACACACACACACACAGAGAGAGAGAGAGAGAGCCAAATAGGACTGGTCAGAGCTGTAGCCAATCAAATCTAGCACTACGTATGTTCCACAGCCATTGTCTGTGTGGGTCTTTTTCAAACCCAGGCTTAAAATGACTTAAACTTCCCACAGTAGTGCCTTCAGTGCCACTTTCCAGAAATCACTGGGAAGCAGAATGACTGCTGTGGATTCTATGTCATGTACAGTAAAGATGATTGCAGCTAAATAGTGCAGAGGAAGGGACCACCTTTCAAACTTGTTATTGTTAATTCATTTTTTATTGTGTTTAAGTCATAAAACAAGAAAAATCCTACAGGAAAGAAGAAGGTACCTCTAAAAAGCTAGAAATAAATTATCCATAGTTGTTGGTTTTTTTTAAAAAAGAAGTGGACAGGAATATAATTTCTTTTAACTTTTCAAACGGACTGTTGCTGTCTTCATTTTTGGTGAACAGGGTTGGAGTACCTGACTTTCAAGCAGAGCTTTGAACTAAGCAAACTGGAAAGGGGAGGTGTTAACTTTGTCATCATACACTGTTCCTATCAAGATGCATTTTAATTTATGAGGCACCAGTTTTTGTGTCAAGCACATAAACATATTTCAGATGTCACTGGAAAAATCAGCAATGTGTATGAGAGAGTTTCTGGTTTGGGTGAAGACTGAGCCAGGATGAAATCATGCTTCTATTAAACCAAAATTAAAAAATTTAGAAAGCATGAATAACTATGTCTCCATCCCTTTTCTATACCAATGGCTACCTTCTGAAGTGTGTTTTCTTTAGAAAAGGTGACCATTGCAGTTTTCTAAACGCCATTTGCGTGTAATCCATAGTTCAGCAAGAGCAGGAAGGCCCAGCAAAACAAACGAAGATTCCTTTGCCATTTTGCAGTGTAACAAGTTTTTTATTTTGGAATAAACTTCTGTGGATTTCAGGCCACATTTGAAGATGTGTGGAATATAGCCTCAATAGATACAAATTTATACACATCTGGGAAGGAATGAGTGTGAAGTGTAATAGAAAAAGTCCAGGGATGGTCTTTAAAGTGATAATTAATGGTGGTTTGAAAGTCCTGGAAAGTAGCAAGTGCAAACTTTAATGCTAGAAGTCAAAGGTCGTTGATGGGAGACTAGTACATTCCAGTGTTTATAAACAAAATGCATGCATGGTGGAGAAGGGTAACTAAGTATGACAGGAGAGTTTGGGTTATACAGCAGTTTGGGCAAGATCAGAATTGGAAGGACAGAGGGAGTATGAAGGTGGAGAGCTATGAAAAAATTATAAGTAGAAATCACATGCAAAGAATCACTGTGCAATCAGTTTCCAGAAACAAAGTTCTGGATTAGGTGACACTTTTATTGGATCACACACAAAACGTTATAAATAACACAAGCTTTCAAGTTCTGCAGAATTCTTCATTAGGCAAAGATGGTATAAAACCTGAGGTTCATGTAGGAAATCCAAAAATAGAGCCAGATATGAAGCCCTTGGCACATGTATTCAGATTGCCAGGTAGGCAAAATGGAGTCTTAGATTCTACATGAGATGGAGATAGCAAAGGGATCCATTTAGAGGCTCCCACATCACTGAAGCAAAGGGATCCATTTAGAGGCTCCTACATCACTGAGCTCAAAAGCTTAGTCTGGTCCCTTATAGCAGTGGTCCCCAACCTTGGGCCTCCAGATGTTCTTGGACTTCAACTCCCAGAAGCCTTCACTACCACCTCTGCTGTCCAAGATTTCTGGGAGTTGAAGTCCAAGAACATCTGGAGTCCCAAGGTTGGAGACCACTGCCTTATAGGCTTCCCAATTAAATAGAATGTAGTAAGAGCAGAAGATGAAGGTCCATTGTGTGGAAAGAGATGCTTTGGTGTTCTTTATTTCCACAAGAAAAAGCGCTACTATGAAAAAACAGTATGGTTTCTGATACAGATTGCGCTCTTGTGTCAAAATAAAATTGCCAGTACTTTTCCTGTCAAACACTCTGACCATGTTTACTGCAAGAAAGGACAGAAATTTAGGTGAAGGTTTCCCTATCATAGATCCATAATGGTAGGGAAAGCAAGAAAAGTAGCACCTACCAAATTTTCACCTACACTGCAACAGAAGAGAAGCATAGATGTTCTGTCATCTAAGAAGCTAGAGGCACAGTTTCCCCCTCATTGAAGAGTGTGACCCATCTACAGAAAAAGACAAAAGCCTATCTCACAGCCATAAATACTGCACTCCCAAAGCCAAACTACCAGAGCACAGAGTGCTGTCCTCTGAAGATGCCGGCCACAGAGACTGGTGCAACATTAGGAAGAACAACCTTCAGAACACGGCCAAAGAGCCTGAAAAACCCACAACAACCATTAGATCCCGGCCGTGAAAGCCTTTGCGAATACATTAAGATCGAATCTCTTACTCTTTTTAGGTACCGCTACTGGTGGTCAGTTGAGGTTTTGATTCAGACTGAGAATATAGCAAATGTAGCCACATATCCCCTGCCCCGAAAGCATCAACTTAATGAGAAGTAGACACAAAGGTTGTAGGATGAGAAATCTTTCAAAATTTATGCCTCTTATTATTATTATTTTCTCATATTACCACTAGTCTGAGGAAGAGTTCTGGAGAATTCAAAAGCCTGGACTTTGTTTATTTTTTTATTTATTTGTGTGAATATTTTTGAACTGCTTATTTTTAAAAGGCTTGGATTCAAACATTTTAAAGCAGTGTGCATATATAATAAAACATATTCCGCATGGTGGGTGCTGCAAGGCTAAAGGCCCTGCTCTAGATGTCTGCAGTATGAATTATAGAACAGTTGGTGCCACAAGGAGGGCTTCTCTGGAGCCAGATCAGATGGGCCTATAAGACAGAGAGGTTGGTGCCTTGGCTAATCAGGTCACAAGTTGTTTAGGGCTTTATAAACTCCTAACCAACTTGAAAGTATCTTAGGAGCAAATAAGCAGCAAGTGCAACTCCCTCAGATGAGGTGTTGCACATTGCCAGTAGGTCACCCCACACAGAAGAGTAGCTAAAACACAGCTTCAGTTTCTGGACCATCCTCAAGGGCAGCCCCTCATCCAGTGCACTACAGTAGTCTAGTACTGACAAAACCAATGCCTGGACCACTGTAGTCAAACTGTTCCCGTCCAATTGGCATACCAGCCAAAGCTGATTGATAGAAGGCAGTCTGAGCCACTGAAGTCACTCAAGCCTCTAGTGAAAATGACAGATCTAGAAATAGGCCTGGGTAGTGTGGTTCATATTTCAGAGGGAGAGCAACCCCACCAAGAACAAGTAGTCTCCTTATCAGTCCTGATCACAGGAATCAATCATGCGGCTTTCACGTTGCCAGGATTCAGCATGTGGTTACGGTAGGGTTGTAACGAATGCATTGCCTGCCTGTGGATCTTGGATTGGTTTTGTTTGTTCCTATGGGTCAATGTGGCTCTTTCTAACTAAGTGACTTTGTTTGTTCCTATGGGTCAATGTGGCTCACAATCTGACTAAGTGACCAGTACAGTATGCCTGTGGAGTCAGCTATCCCTGTGTTCACTCTGGATGGTCAATTTCCAGGTCCCTAGTCTCCTCCTTCCTTCTAGTTCTTTACCTATAAATCAGACAGGGACTGGGCAGCCATTCAAACAGAGCACTGTCCTCCATAGAGAAAGATAGATACAGGATTGCTCTTGTCCTGATGCTCACTCTTGAGCATCACTGGATGACCCTGGGTTCTAACCTTATGAGAGCAAAATAAAAAAATTCTCTGTACCCACTTTCTGTACTCTGTGCTTCTCACATTGTGGAAGAGACTCCCAACTAATCTGGACATGGGATTTCCCACCAAGGCATGCTCTGGGCAAAGCTGAGGAATCCTACCTGTCCAGGGGTGGGGCAGGAATGCTGGCAGATAGCTAGGATGGCCATAAAAATGGAACAAAGATTACCTGCATTGGGAGCTCCCAATTTTAGTTACTCCCCTGGAGTATCTGCAGGGGAGTATCTGTAGGGAGCGGGTCACAAATACCAAGTGGCTTCATTTGCCATGTGCTCCAGAGCTTAGATAGTGTTCCTTTTCCAATTTTGTGTCCAAGAATTCCTAGCCTGTATGGAATTGTTAAATTTTTGATATTTTAATGTTTTTAATGCTTTAAGTCTTTGTAATGTTTCTATGTATGTAAGCCGCCCCGAGTAGACCTGATCTAGAGGGGCGGGGTATAAATCTAATTAAAGTAAAGTAAAAGTGATCTGGGAGATTTTTTTTAAAAAAATTGCCTGTGGCCCTCCAGAGATTGATTAACAAGTGTGCCCATGCTTGTTCATCACCGGCCAAGTCGGCTGGGGCGAATAGAACTGGAGCCCATCAGTATCAGGAGGGTCACAGACCTCCTCAGCTCTGCCCTAATGCACAGCTCATGACTGAGCATAATATCCTAAGAGTTGCTCTGTTGAATTGAATGAGAACACGGGTTTGGTTAGTCAAGCGAGCTGCTTCCAACACTAGCCCACCAGACCCTTCCAGAAATGGCCACCAGCACCCCCCACCCCTTTTTCAAATTAGTATCTGGTCTTAAGAGAGAGACTGCCTCTGCAGTTGGAGGTTCCATTCTGCTATCGCTGTGAAAGCTTTCGCTAGGTGTAAGAGTCCTCTCCTAATTCCTCTGATCCCAAGAATGTCCCTTTTTTTGCATGCAGTTAATCTTTAATACTGTCGCCAAGCAGCTGCCTGGGCACTTTTTGTGGGATGGCTTTTCGGGGAGGGGTGGCCCCAGGGCTCTGCATTTTCTTGGCAACTCTTTTTGTAGTTTCGCAGGAGCAGGGCTGTGTCCTGCCAGCAGATTAGCCTTGGGCGTGTAATTGGCTCAGTGGCTGAACATAAAGCACAGGGGAAAGCACACGGGGTGGGTGGGGGGAAACAGTCCCGTCCTGTCCTGCCAGGACAGCCATAGGGGCCCCAGCAGGACTCCAGGAAGGCAGAATCTGGAGAGCGCTGTCACTGACAGGTAAGAGCAGCCCCAGAAGAGCCTCTAATAAACCGTGTGTTTGTGTGTGTGTGTGTTTGTGGGCATCATGGCAGGGAGGGACGAAGGAGAAGTGCATGGCAAGAGAAGGTCAGTCCTCCAGTAGGCAGTAACCATGGGTTAATCCAAAGGATAACAGGGAAAAAAGAGTGGGTGGAAGGAAAGGAAGGAACTGATTAAGGACACACACAATCAAGCTGTGGTGTGGCAAGAATGTGGAGCAGAATCTCTCCCCCACCCCCCACCTGCCAATCAATTGATCGATCTATCGATCTATCAGTCCACCCACCCCACTGCTTTGCAATCCAATATTTCCCCCCCTTCCCTCGTGGACCTTTTCTCTAAGGGGGTGGGAACGTGCCAGATTCAAAGAGCCTTTGTTGTCCCTGCAGGATGGGAACGTCCTTTTTCTTAAGACTGACAGGATTGGTATTGCCTCCTGCTACATTCCTGGAATGTAGAGCTTTCCTATTTTGCTTTGTGCAAGTAGATTTTCTTTTTTTTTCCCAGGGCAGGGAGGTGAGCTGACAGAGTAAGATCTTGTGTGCTCCGTAACACTACCTGCAAGGTCTGTTTTTGCTGCATGTCGATGCTTTCATGGCTGCATTCCAATTGCCTTTGCACTTTTCCTGTGGAGCGCTCCTCCTTTCTGTCTCTCCGGACAGCCACTTACTCCCTGCAACCTGAAAGAGGGAAGGGAGTCAGTTCTTTGCTAACGGGGCATTCATTAGGTAGTGCATAGAAGGTAATGCCTCCCTCTCCACCTGCTTGCCTGTTTGCCAGATTGCCTTTTTTACAGTTACCTATATAACAGTCAGGAGTCGTAATCTTTTTGTCCAGCTTGCTGGCAATGTGTAGCCTGTGTTGAAAACACTGCGGTAGTTATGACATGGCAGAAGAAACAGACCTCAACAGGGCTGTTAATGATAGGACCTTTTGGAATTCATTAATTTGTTGGGTTGCTGTAAATTGCAAGCAACATGATGGCATATAACAACAACAGAAGAAGCTGCTGCAAGAAATATCCATGAAACACAGTCTTTTTCTTCTTCTCCCCCCTCCTGTTTGTTTTGGGGGTTTGTTTCTTCTTTTCTTTTTCGGCAGCAGCTCTTTGTAATCTCACCTCCTTTGTTGAGCACTCTGGACTCCACCTCTCCTATCTGCAATGCCCATTCCCGCCTACGAAAGAAAGAAGTTATACAAGTTCAATGGGGCTTTTGTGGAACCCTGGTTCTGTTTTGTCAAGGGGTAAATTTTCTTAGTGTAGCTATGGCAAGCTTTTTACAGGAGAGAGTGAGTCCAAAGAGCCCAAAAATGCAGGCAGCTTCTTATGGACAAACTGATTCCAACTGTTATCAGAGCACAAACAGGTCTTTTGTAAGGCTAATGGGTCTGCATTGATCATTCCAGATCAAGCTACCCCCAAATTCTTTGCGTTCTAAGAAAGATAGCTCTCAATAACATACTGTTGTGGGGGGAAATCCATTCTCTTGCCCTCCCTAGTTACCATGAGGAATGTAGCTAAGCTCAAAAAGGAGGGCAAGTGGTGGCAGATGATGTCATCATCCTGACTAATCAAAAAGTCCCTTTCTTTGGTCTGGTGAATCCTGGTTCCAACACTCCATTGGAAACTGTAAGATGGAGTGGCTTATCTGACAGCCGGGTGACTGAAGGCAGGTCAGGTTCTTGAGCACTGCTGAAAGGCATGGCTTGAAGGAAGAGGCTGGATAAGAAAGGAGATTCCATCTTATTTATTGCTATTACTGTGAACTGGCAAATGGTAAAGGGAAAGGAAGGGGGAAATGCATGGGAGGGACAGAGTACAGTATAAGAGAAAACAGAAGGTATTTCCTCTCACTGAGGTGTCCAGCTGTTCAGCCTCCAGATCTCCATGGGGCACTATCCTGCCATTGCCATCACCACGTCTCGCTGCATAGAGAAGCAAGAGCAGTGTTGGCAAAGGTTTATTTTTTTTATCTTTTTGCATCTGCAACTTCCATAATCCACCAGAAGCTGTTGTGACTGGGGGCTTCTGAGAATTGTAGTCCAAAAAGTAAGGTTTCCACAACACTAAGCAAGATTGTGCTTCACAAGAACTTGCTTCTGCCCCATCCCACATTTATTTACCATTTTAATACACACAAGCGTACACACTATCTTTCAGTGGTTGTGATATAAGCACAAAGTATACCAATGTAGTACTACTGTGCAGATTTGTCTCCCACCCTTGATTCCAGTGGGCATGGGCACCTTTCACATTTTTCAAGCCTTTGCCAATAGAGGGCGCTGGCATCTTCTTTCTTTCTCAGGATGACCCCCCCCCCAGTCTTATGAATTGAAAAACTGCTATTGAAAAGATGCATGCTTTTTTTTTTTGTTCCAGGTGTGTTGGACAAGCGAGCCCAACCCTCATACCTAAATGACCACAGAAACTCTTTCACGGCCTCCCCCTGTCACTGGAGTGGCCCACAGAGGTCCAGAGAGCTCTGAGGCAGACCTATTCAGGGATGTGGTGGAGGACAGGAACGAGGCAGGGAATGTCCATGCAACCACCATGCCAGGGGGCTCTTTTCTCCCCCCCTCGGATGCTGCCCTCAGCATCCTTGCCAAAGAGAAGGGACCAGAGGAATCACCCGCCCCAGAGCAGAACGATGACCAGGTTGAGAAAGGCCCCTTGCCTCCGACCATGCCTTCTGAGGGAATTAAAATGGCCGATGAGTCAAACCCGTCGGAACAAGGGCATGACGTGAATGGCATGCAGGAGCCCTCCTCGGAGCAGCCGAAGGCGGAAGAGGCTTCAAGCTTGTTGGCCCAAGAGGAGGGTGGCAGCCAACCGGAGTGCCATGGCGAGACCCCCGATGCCTTGTCAGAGCGACAGCATCCTGTGGCGGTCTCAGCTTCAGAAGAGGAGGAAGAGAGCAGACAACAGCCCCACAGCCCTGAAAGGGACATCACTGCACCTACGGACTCCCCCAAAGAACCAGATGTTGGCCCAGAGGAAAAAGGAAGTCCTCCTGCCCATCAAGGCAAGGCCTCTGATCTTCCTTCAGAACCACAGAATTCCACCACAAGCTCAGCTCAGCTCGACCTGGAGGAGGAAAGCAGCACCACAGGTAGCCACAGCCAGCTCTCTAGCGTGGATTCAGGATCTGTGGAGGTAACAGAAGTAGCCAGTAGTCCAGAAGAAGCCGACAGCAGCGAAGACAATGGCCAAGCTACTTATGCTGCTCTTGTTTCACCTCAGTCCCCTAGCTCATTGCTACCAGGGCCAAATTCTCCAAAGAAGGAGGGAGACTGTTGCATCTCTCCTCGCCATCATCCCTCTGCTTCTCCCTCTCCTGCTGAGTCTGAGGGGATATCTTCTGTTGGCAGCATTCAAGAAGAGATAAAGGAAGGCTGCTCAGAAATGCCAAGGGATGGTGAGGAGGAAAGAAGGCCAAGCGAGCCTGTTCCCCCGTCGCTGGCTCCAGAGGAGTCTTCAGGTAGTCTCAAAGAGCATTCCTTGAGGGAGGACTCAGGAGATCATCTCCAGGCAACTGAGGAGGAACAGGTTGCCCAAGATACTACCTGCCAGTCAGTAGCACCTTCTTCCCTTGGGTTAGCAGACCCTCAGGCCGACATGGACCCCTCTGGCCAGCAGAGGGCAGCAGTTACAGGTTGTGAGGCCGTTCCCCTGCCAGTGCTCACCCCGTCTCCTGTGGCAACGGCTGGGATCTTTGGACCTGCCCATCGGGGCCTGGCTGCTGAGTGTGACGATGGGCACGCCTGGGAAAGGCAGGCTGTTCACAAACCAAGTGGAGGTGGCAGTGAGGACGACACCAAGCCCCAGGTTGAGGCTGGAGGCAAGGCGGCGGCGCCGGGATCTGAGAGGGGAGAGGAAGCAGCAACCAGGAGCCCTGAGCCTGAAGGAAACAAGGAGCCAGAGGGTGCGAAGGAGCCTCCTCGTGCCAAAGACTTGGTCAGAGAACTGCCTGGCTTAGAAAGTCCAGTTGGGGCCAGCGATCCATCTGGTCCCAGCGAGCCGTCTGGGGCCATGGTTTTAGCAAGTGCTGAAGACCCGCATGAGGCCAGGGACAGAGCAGGCTCTCAAGACTTAGCCAGTACCGCATACCCAGTTCCTGCAGCAGAACACAGTGTTTCCAATCAGGTCCCCCCCAGGGAAGGATTGCTCCTTGATATAGGAGACCCTGCTGAGCTGGCTTGCACGACGCCCATCGCTGATGAGCCCTCTGCAATGGATGTCTCCGGTTGTCCCACAGACTGGACAGAAGGTGCCACCGATTCCCCCGAGATCCCCCACTCCGTCCCTGAAACTCCAATTGAGCGGGAGATCCGTCTCCATCAAGAGCGGGAAGAGCTCCTCCGTCGGGAGAGGGGTCTGGCCAACCCTCGGGGAACCCAGGAATATGTGGAGGTCAGGATCCGGCCCATTCTGAATCAGAGCGCGGGGTCCTCCACACTGCCCAAGGAGAAGGAGCGCCAGTGGGCTGGGGTCCAGATGCAGCGGGAGATCCAGCGGGAGTGTCAGCGGGAAGAAGACCTTGTGCAGCTGGGGAAGGTGCGGGGAGCCTATGACCGTGGCACCCCGAAAGAACTGCAGGAGAAGAAGATGATCTTTGAGCAGCACTTCAGCTCCGAGTCTCTGGCCTCCAAGAAGAGGGCGTGCAGCAACAGCACCGAAGGGAGCCGGGGGCCATCCTTCACCGAGGCCGACTGTGCAACAAATATGGTCATCTTAGACTCGAGGGCTCTGCTGCACTCCCAGCGGCCCCAGCCAGAGAAGGCCTCCTCGGCTAACCCCTTCTTTTGCTTGCGTGCCAAAAGCCCCCAGTCTTTGCTAGAGCAGGAAGTCCAGGAAGCCCAGGAACGAGAGCGGGAGCTGCAGAGGCAGAGGTACAGCCTGTATGGCTCCGCGTTGCCCTGTCCGTCCGCAGAAACCACGGAGCAGGAAGAGGATGTCCCCACCCAACCAGGTAACTTGCAGTGCGGGAATAAGATGAGAGTATGGAGTTGACAAGCAGGGGAAAAAGACTCCCGCAGGCCTCATTTCTACTATTGGAATGTGTGAAATGAGGGCAACGAAAGAATAGAGAGTTACCCATGAATATGGGTGATTGCAGAAACAAATGAAAGTGCTGTTTCATTTAACATCCATTAATTTATGGCAAGGATGAACCATTTCTGGCCTTCCAGATGCTTTTGAGCTGCAGCTCCTATCAAGTCTCATGTTTGGTATAAGGCAATTCCGTAACATCTGGTGGGCTGCACATTCCCCATCCCTGATTTAAGGAATCTATAGTCAAAAGATGTGTTGGTGTCTTTGAAGGGATTTCAACAAATTCATAAAGTGAGGAGTTATTTGCCGTGTAGAACCTCCATGTTCAGGAGCATGAATACCAATTGCAGAATTAAATCACAGACAATAGAAGAGGCCTCTATGATCTCCTTGTAGGTTTCCCATAAGAATACAGCTGACCACTGTTGGGCACAAGACACCAGAGTAGGTGGGTTTTTAAAAAGAAAATCTGGAAATAGCTGTGTAATGATAGTAAAGCAGAGTGTTGAATAGCCTTGTGAGAGACCGCTGCTTTATTGTGTGGCTTGTGGTTTCAGGGGAAGAACTTTTTTCCCATCTGGTGCAGGAAGGTGGCTGGTAAAAGCATAAGTGTGGGATTGAGCAAACAACTTGCCTGGAGCATATTTTTAGCATGCCAGTAAAGCCAACCAATACAATTAAAGAAATGCATCCCCAGGATCTTCTGCAATATCAAAGGACACTGGAGGGCACAGAAGTTGTGTGTGAAATGCATATTGCACCTCAGATGTGTTAAAATCCTTGTCTCCCAGTCTGACTAGTTTGCGAATGGCATTTTTCCAAGATTAAATCATCACAGTGGCCTTGGGAGTGTTCTGCTTTGTCCTCCAGCATGCACCTGAAGGCTAGAGGAATTTCTAAGTCTCCCCAGCTGATAGCAGTCAGAAAGAGGGGTATCTCCTCATCATCCATTTTCTTTAACCCAGTTTGCCTCTAATAAAATAGGTCTGCTAGGTTTTTACCTTGTTTCACAAACCTGCCACTCCTGCTTAATCAGAGGTGACAAAGGCACAATAATTGTGTCCATACTCCATGGAGAATAATGCCTCTCTCTGACTGCTTTTCACTCTCATACACTGCAACCCTATGCATGTATATCCCAAAAGAATGTCACAGTATTACTAAGTCCAGTTAAGTTTTTTTCCCAGCTAAGTTTGCATAGGGATGAAGCCTTAAAAATATTCAGCCTGTTGGCTTGAGTCGTTCAGGGAAAGAGTAGGGAACCTTTTGCCATCCAGATGCTTTGGCCTGCAACACTCATCAGCCTCATCCAGCACTGGTAATGGGTAAGGGACAGTATGGGTTGAAATTCAAAGGACATAAGAGAGCCAAATCGTCCCCATTGCAGTCTAAAGGCCAGTATGTGTGATCTGTATAAATCCTGCAGATTTATATATTGTATTTTACATGACATAGTTTGTATTCTGTACATATCATTCAGCATAATTTATTTGAGCTTTGCTTGTTATAGGAAGGAGCAAGGGAAACTAAAAGGCACAGTCATTGTGAGGAAATCTTAGCTAGCCAAGCCAACCCTCTAGCTTCTGGGATTCTCAGAGCCACATATTTCCAAGAATACCTTTATTCCATAGGGTCTAGAAACTTATTCTCTTGTTTGTTTTCCAGCTGAAATGCTCTATACATCCTGTGGCTTTTCACAGATTCCACAGAACTGGGACACATCTAACGTCCTGTAAATATTCTAGATAGACCCTCAATGAAAAGTCCCTTCTGTGAAATCACAGATTTTAAAATTCACCTCACTTTCAGGTCACTCCACTAATATCCTGTCTTCTCATGTTCCTCCAGTCTCCATAGCAGGAGGGCCCCAAAATCAAAGAATTTTTATACCAAATGCTAGCACCAGGATGACACCAACAGTCATCCTGACCTCAGCAGTGCCCAAACGTCACTGTGGTCTCCTTCTCAGATGGAGTGCCGAATTTCTGAACTCACTGAGTGACCTGCTCTGAAGTGAATGAATATATACACACCCAAGGATTTGTATAGAAGACTGTATAGAAATCCATAGATAAACTTTGTCTTCAAGGATGTCTGGATGGACTCAAGAATCATGTTAATTCCAGCGGAAAAAAATATATCAGGAAGTGAACAGAAGGCAAGGCTGCTAATTTGCAATTCACTGATAGGCCTCACACCCTTTCTTCTGGGTTAAATAGAATAGCTCTGTGTGTCACAGTAGTATTTAAGCAGCCACAGACTTCTGGGTCATCCCCCACCCCCACCCCAGCCCCGGATTCTGGATCTGAGAGAGCTTATCTTTATTCCACCAGGTCCTCCTACACACTTCTCATCCTAAAGATCCTTGGTTTTTCCCTGCTTCATTTCTAACATTAACAAAATAGGCCAGTATTTGTACGCACTAAAATTACTAAAATATTAAATTACTTTAATATATATATTAAAGATAACAAACAGATTTATTGTGTACATATTTTTGGCAAGTTTGGATTAATAAGGATCTGACACTTCCTCCTCCATCTCTTCTTCTCTTACCAGAGGCTGGACATCATTGTGGCTATACTGCCTTCATAATCAGTAACTCTAAATAATGTTATATACAAACTAGTGTGCAAACTCTTCAGCCAATATGTGCTTCTGCTTCCTGCACTTCTTTTCCTATTTATTATACTTGGAATGATAAGCTATAATCAACTTTACTTTTTCATTTTTCATTATGTGATCAAAATATTCTGCATTTTGTGAATTTTTACCAAAAAATCTTGATCTTTTTTCATTCACTTTGCTATTTCTGTTTTGGCCACCCATTTGATCCAAGAAATATGTAGCAAACTGAGATAACCCTATATTTCAAATACTTCTCACCTATTCATAGTTTGCCTGTGTAAAAATTCACCCCAAACAGCAAAAATGAGAATACATAGCACCATACAAAATGGATTCTCAAAATCAATTTCAAATGTTTACTGTATATTTACCTTAAGGTAGGTGCTTTGGTCCATGTATCATCAGACTTAATCTCATGGCTATAATTTCAGTGTTTATTCTATCCCTACCTGCACTCTCTGGATCAATTCATTCATCTGTTTGTGATGATGATAGTTCCTGTATGGCTCACCTGTCTGACTTTATCTCAGTATGAACGTTCCAAAGAATTAGGTCTATAAATAAAGAAAATAAATAAATGGTCCCAGTTGCAGTATGAGAACTTGGCAGCTAGCTGAATCAGAGTGTGTACCTAAAGGGTGGTAATAGGTTTCCGAGGGCACTGTAGCAAACACAAGGTTGAATTTTAACAAATGCAAGACTGAAACAGAAACCCGCCTGTCATTAGCGGGTGTGACCAGAGACCTGGAAATATTGCCAGACAAAATAAGTGGCACAATGGAGGCAAAACTCACAGAGACTGTGGGAAACAGCTTGCTTGGCATGAATGTGGAAAGAAGGGCCACGCTCTGGTTCCCCTGCTGGAGTGCCAGAATTTAGGTCACACACTCTGAAATGAAAGTCTTTCTCTCAACCCTGACGCAACTGAGCAGACTGTAATTATTCAGTGTTGGGGAAAATGCACTCTGCATATGCTCAAAAGCACTGCCGTTACTGAGGTCAAACAGTACATGGCTGTTAAAGCCTGCTCTTTTTCCTTTCTCTTGTTTCTAGAAAGACCTTCTTGCAAGAAGCTAGATGTCACATGGCCCCCACCGAGCTCTTCGGAGACCTCCCAGGTGAATGGCCTGCATCAGGTAACAACCACACCATCAGCCATTCTTACGGCTCCCAGTGATGACTGGTGGTCTGTGGCTGTACTTAGGAACATTACTCAGCTGCAACGGCAAGCCAACATTTAACACAGTCCGAGGGCCAGATGATACTTTACAGATAATATGTCACTCTAGCTAAAATCACATTAGTGTTCCGGAGATATGATTCCAGCAGAGCTGCATGCCTCCAGAGTCACACTTGGTAACTGTGACTTACTTCAGCACAGTACGTTGCAGTTAGAATAGACCCATTTGAATTGGTAGACCTTATGGAGCAGTGGGCTCACCAAATCTCTGTTTATTTAATGGGCCTATTCTAGTGTGGTTTACTAACCTAAGCAACAGGATTTGGATCTATTTGCCGTCAAAAGAAAAAAGCTTTTGTACTCTTCAGTCAGGAACCCACACTGGACCTATCACAACCCCTGAGGGCTACCCTACTGTTGTTCAGTAGCAGGCACCAATATTTCTAACGCTACTGCCACCAACATTTGGCAACAACTACGATGACTTCCTGTGGTGCAGGAGCCCAGCAGAGCGGCAGGACAGATCATCTCCCTGCCTTTCTTGTCAGATCATGAATTCCTGTAGCACTTCATTTCTTGTTCCCTGTACTGGCTGGCAGCTGCTTTCTGGTTTAAGAGTGTTAAACAAGTTGCCTTACAGCAAAATCAACAAAACGTTTTGTGTCCCTACTTAGGGATGCAGTGAATTCTTTTTGCAAAGCTTGTGCATTGCCACCATTCAGCTGAAGACCCTCTGTGATTTACTGTTAGGCTCACTGCTCCCCTCCCTTTGCTGCTTCTTACTAACATTTAGGTACTAAGTTCCTTGGAGGGGGGAATCTCTGCCATTTTCGCTCCTGTCACATGGTGAAGTGCTATGTTTACTGATGGAGCTATGCACATTAGCTAGTATAAAAACAAGGGCTAGAAACTTCTTCATGGTTGATCACCAATAACCTGTGGTTAGTTTTGTTGTTGCTGCTATGGCCTCCCTATAGTAACTTAGAACACTCCAGCAACTTAAAGAGGAAATGTTCAGGCACTGAGATAGCTAGTGAGTTTGTTCCTCCGCAAAGGTGAGACTCCCAAACAAACTCTCTAAAGTAAGAGGCAAACCTTGTCATGGTGATAGTTTATCTATCTACCTGCTAGTCTCTGGCTGGATAGTTCAGTAATGTAGGTATCTGAAGATCAATTCCCCACTGTGCCTCCTGCAAGGTGAGCTGGCCTGTGTGACCTTGGGCAAGCTGCACAATCCCAGTGTGCCTCCAAGAGGAAGGGAATGGGAAGCCACTTCTGAGTATTCTGTGTCTGGAAAACTCTGAAAAATTGTCACCATGTCAGAATTGACTTGACAGCACATGATTATTATTATTAATCTGCATTGGCACAATGTACATCTGTGTAGTTTGACCAGACATATTGGCTTCAGTGCTTGCATTAAAGGAAGGGGAGAACAGAGAAAGCAGAGACCTTCCATCAGTCACATCAGAATCATTGGGCTAAAACTGCCGGAAGGCAGCCGTGGGGCCCGTGAGTTTTATTAAGGCTTCCTTATCTATCATCCCCCATAATGTGAGCATTTACTTCAGTGTCTGAGTTGTGTATGGACTTCCCATAGTACTTGACTCCCTCTGATTAATATGATTAACCTTGGGAAGTTCTACAGCTCACACTCACTGAATGAGGTACTTCCAGCAAAATAGCTGTGTTGGTCTGCTAAAGCAAAGTCAACAAAAAAGGTTTGTGTCACTTAAAAAACTAAAAAGCTTCTTTGATATTGAAATGCCTGTGGACTGTAACCTACTTCTTCAGATCTATTGCATCTGAACTGGGTTGCCCCTGAAAGCTTATGCCAAATAAAACCTATTAGTCTTGACCCACCATTCTTGGTCAAAATTGACGGAAAAGCGCACCAAAGCAGCTTCCATCTGCCTTCATGCAGCTTTTACAGGAAGATTTCCTGTCAAGTCCCATCCTTTGAAGTGGGTCTGATCTGCTTATGTCTCTGTTGCCTTTAATGACACACACAATATCCACATTTTCTGTGGAAAACACTGGAAACAAGGGCTGGTTATCTTTTCCTTTGCATACCTCACCTTTTTAACATAGCCACAATAGGCGCATTGTAAAACATTTACATTTTGTTTCCTTCACAGCTGATAGTAACAGGCAAGCAGATGGTACATATCAATGTTGAGCTATTGTTCTTCAGATTCCACATAACTAATTTCACATTAGTCAAATGCTGGCAAAATGTCAGGCATGTCTTTGTTTCAGTTGTTCACTTCTTGATAGGGTTCTCTCTCCCCCGCCCCCTTTAAACACATAAAACACTGGCCATTCCATTTCTTGATATCAGAAGTCCTCCTTCCTTTCCAAGGAGATACAACATTGCCAGATCCAGGACTGGGGAAGCCTTCTACCCTGTGGCCAACACTTGTGGCCGCCTCCCACATCCCCCCCCCTTTCCCACCTTGCCTCCTTCTTAGCTGTTAGGAAAAGCATCTCAAGGACAAGTTATTATTGGTGGGTCTTGGCAATGACTAGCCAGATGATACTTCTAGTACTTAGTTACAAGATGGCACCCTTTAACTGAGAAAGCTCATGTGCTGAAACAAAAATTGGATTTATCAGAGCTGCATTTCCCATGAGGCAAAATCCTGAAAGATAGGAGATAAAATAAATCCTATAAGATAGGAGTTGGAAACATGTGGCTGTCCAAATGCTCTTACATAGCAGGACCAAAGACTTCTCCCCCATTGGCTTTCATGACTCAGGGCTAATTGGTATTGTAGCTGGCTCAATAACTCATTGGTTTAGATACCAGGCTGTGGAGCCAGAGGTTGGGAATTCAATGCCTCCGAGAAGAACCAGTCTGTGCGGCCTTGGAAAAGGCACACAGTCTCAGGATACTTCCAGAAGAAGGGAATGGTAAACCATTTCTATGTATTCTCTTCCTAGAAACCCCTGGAAACGGTTGCCACAAGTCGGAATCAACTTGACAACACATGATTATTATGATTAATTGGTATCGTAGACCCAACAATATCTATGGGTCTATCAGCTGGCCACCTACTGTTACAGAATTTACTGCAGAATGAATGTGCAGAGGACTTTACTGCACATGCTTTTGAATTTGGATCAGAGTTCAAAACATACTGTGGCGCCCTTGAAACTGCGCTGTGATCTTGACTTTTCAAATACAACTGCCAATGCCAAAAACATGACAGAGTTTCATTTGCCCCAAAAGACTGGGAAGGTGAATTAGGGCTCAGCTTTGTGGGTCCCTGAATAAATGTTGAGCCTTGAGTGTCAGTACATTGGTCACTGACAGAACCCAGTTTTCTTTGCAGAGAAACTGGCACTGGATCTTTTTCAGAGCTTGGAACAGTAAGCTTCATGGCCCACAGAACTTAGGAAACCATACTGCCTGGGGGATTCTGGGAGCTGTAGTCCAAAAGAAACTTTCCCAAGCTCAGTTGTGATCCAGATTCTCCTGCTCATCGTTGCTATGTCTGCCGTTGAAATCTCCCCAGCTTTTCACGTGTGCTTTTTGGTGACTCTCCCCTAGCTCTTACTCACTCTTCTCTCCCCCCCTCCCCTTCTTTCTCCCTGCTCTGCATCCAACCACACAGCCGGAGAGAAGCCCTCGCGTCCTTCGTCGCCAGAGAAGTGCCTTAATTGAGCGCTGGGAGTCCGGAGCTGTTGGCAAGCAAGAGAATGAGGATTAGGGGCAGCTGCAGCAAGAAAAGGCACCCTATCTTCAGTGATAAGACACACGGGAAGGGAGGAGTCCTTAATGTGTCCCCTAACCCCTTACAAGCCATGGCCAAGCTCACCTTGAGAACCAATCATGTATTCATTGCACTCCACTTCTTATTTGACAGACTTGGTCCAAAAGCATGACTGCGTACCCAGTTTGATCCCTCCAGGAGAAAGAATGTTCATAGCAGACAAGTTTTTTGTAGGAATGAGGAGAAGAGAGTCAAATGGTTAGGCTCCGAATGCAAAACCTGACTATGCATAGTAGTTTTATGTTAATACAGAGATGCCTATGCCTCATGCCAAGTTCTTTCCATACTCAACTCTTTGCTAGGTTCCCCCCTACACCTAGATTTTAGATTTGTATTGGGTGTAAGCACACATACATGGAGGTTTATGGTTGCATCTATTGGGGGGGGGCATACCCAGGGACAGTAACTGGTCGCTGCACTGTTGGGTGTGCAATGGGGCTGTTTCACTAGATGGAGTATGTGGTCCCAGCAACTTCTTCTCCTTTTGGAGCGATTAACTTGTTACAAATGGCCAACAATCTGGGCAGACATCTGCCTCTTAGTATGTGTCCTCAGGGGAGTGGCAGATCTTTGAAATGTTACTTTTAAAAATCATGATCTCCCAGAATCCCTCAGGCAACAGCTATGCTGGTTGAGGGATTCTGGGAGATACAAGTTTTAAAACTATGCTGGCTGGGGGATTCTGGAAGGCACAGTCTAAGGGCTGACTCAGGTGGAGTATTTGTTCCTTTTCATGTACCTTTTCATGTACTGATGATTATACTGATATTAGTATTTTCCCCACCATCTAGACAATGGAAGCCTCAAATTGCTACCCACAGTGGCAAAAGCCCTGACTTTCTTGTTTGTTTTTTTAACCATCTTCAAAAGGTGGGGTTTTGTTTTCTTTTACTTTATAATGGAATGGAGTTGGGTCAGAAACTTTGAATGTTAGTGCTAGTCCATAAACAAACACACAGATAAACAAATCCAGCGTATAATTTTTAATGGGCTTCTTTAACATTTTCTAAAAAGCTGATACAAAAGACAACTGATTTCCCAATAAAATTAGAAGCAGAGTGTACCTCTCTTAAAAAGGGCTCCGATTGGAAGTTTTTGTTGTTAGTGCTGATCCACTAAAAATCTGAAACCCTCTTGGTGTAGCTATTCCTTCAGAAGGCTGATGACAGCAATTTTTGGAAAGTGGTTAATTCTGCAGCTTCCATGGTTCCCACCTGATGAAAGTTTTTTTTCACAGGAGCTGTGGAAGCCATATGATAAGAGGAGGAAGTGTTTAATTTACAAAAAATCACCCACCGCTGATAATATCATTGGCCTTTTGCATATGTAGTTGCATCAACAGCTTTTAGACAAAAGAAAATAAAATCTACATAGAGAATCATTTTAAAGTGTTTCTTCAAACTTCTTGAAATATTTGTTATTCATTCTTTTAAAAGATACTGATATCTCGCAGCGGAGAGGAAAAAGCGGGTATAAATGAGTGTAGGCATAAATCATGGTTAGATCTGTGCTTGTTTGGTACCAAGTGGCACCAATCAGTACTGGAAGGGCGGGGTGCTCCCTCAGGAAGAGCCCTAAAAAAGTAAAAATGTCAACCTTTGGTCCTTGACTTTTGCCATGGGAACATCAATTACTACAAGACATTTTTTGTCCTCTTATATGTCAGATTTTGACTTATCATCTATGGGTTCTGTCTCTGGGTGTTCAGACTCCAGGACAAAAAGACAATCAGCCCTTTAAAAAAATTGTAGGAATGAGTGTATACTACTATGTTTCACTGGTGATGAGTTAAGGCAACAATTTACACCACCTTTGCATATGGTTTGCCACTGTTTTTTATTCAACCAAGCACAAATCCTTGATGCTTGAGTTTGCCTATGCCAGCAAAAATTCGAAGTCATTCAAATAGGATTGACTATGGATTGTTTCTTTTCGGAAATGCTGCAAGAATGTTCTACAGCATACAATTGTAGATAAGGAGTCCTCTAGAGCTTTAAGACAAAGCAGTGCTTCAGTTTCTTTCACAATAAAATGAAGAGCTATTGTTTTTCCCCAAGCCAGAAATCACTTGGCAAAATTGCCCATCTTCTGAGGTAGTCTGGTTAGTTTTAACATGCACAGCAAAATCGAAACAGAACACACACAAACACACACCCCAAGTATTGTGGTATTTTTAAGGTTCATGGATATATTTCATATGAGCTCCCGTAGATTATCATCAACTTCCTCAGGCATAGAAGAGTTTGAAGGAGTATTATGTAATCCACAGGAACTCATTCTGAAATAAATCTATTAGTCTAAATAGTGCTACCAACACTTTTTTGTCTTTTATTTTTTTTTATACGTAGGAAAGTACCGGTAGTTTTCAAACAGAGGGCTAAAATCTTCTGATATTGTTTTTTCAGAATGTGAAGGAAAAAATGCCAGAAAGACAGTACAAAGAGAAAATCCAGAAAGGTCTGAGTAACACAGCAAGGCACAAACACACTTTTGTAAGCAGAAAACACAAGTATGTACTTTTATTAAATAAGTACAATTACTGCTACCAAATGTTCAACATTTCTGCTTCAACAAGAAAAAAAAATACTGTTTCATGTCCTGTCAGGACACTGGGGTAGACTTGGAGCATTATTAAGTGTCCCTGGTGGCCGTTCTGCTCTAGCAACCTCACTTTTGTCAGGCTGCAATTCCACGCCCGCTTACATGGGAGGAAGCCCTACTGAACACAACAAACACACAATATTGTGTAAAGTCATATCATTCGAACTAATTATGCAGGCTGCTAACTTTAGGCTACAAAGGCATAGAAGTCACAGAATGTATTCCTTGCACTGCTGTATTTGGCTTCTTAGGAATCAGATTTTCTAGAATAAAAGGTAAGTTTCTAGCCTTTATGGTTGTAAAGATGTATTTGAAAGGTTATGGACAACACCTGGTAAAACCTCAGAAGCTGAAAAGAGTAGTTCATAGAAGCAGTATGACAATGAAGCCCATGACCTCAGGAAGGTGGTAAGCGCTCCAACACTGGAGGCATTCAAGAGAAAATTGGACAACCATCTGTCAAATCTGCTTTGATTTGGATTCCTGCCATGAGCAGGCGGTTGGACTAGATGGCCTTAGAGGCCCCTTCCAACTCCTACTATTCCTAAAAATCAGGATGGGAGGTCAGTATCCGTGATCACTACACGTGGCCTTAGAGGCCCCTTCCAACTCCATTCTTCTACTATTCCTGAAAATCAGGATGGGAGGTCAGTACCCGTGATTACAACAGGGACAATAAAACAATAACAATACCTAATTACATAGCAAATTATGCCAACTGTAACAAAATATGTATACCCGTGTGATTTGGACAATGTATACAAAGTGGAAGAATTCAATTTTCCTTTTTTCCGAATGCATTACCTTTATGCAGAGCTAGGGTGGCCATGTGTCCTACAATTTTAAATATTCCTGCGTATTTGAAAGGTTGATGGGACATCCTCAATTTGATAGTGCTCTCTCTATTCAAAAAGCTCTCCAGACAAAATCTGGCTTAAAGTTAATCAACCTTGATTTTATCTATCAATAGTTGGCACTTTAACAACCAGGTGTGCAGTTCACCTGTGGACAGGGTTGGCCCCTCCCTTTCATGAGGTGATGATTCAATTTGTAGAATGCAGTTTAGACTTAAGTTTAAAAAGTAGTCTGTTTATTCTAATGTAAGACAAAGTCTCAGAAATAGAATCGAGTTCTTTATTCTGTGTTCTTTAAATGAGAAGTTAAAAAGCTCTGGCTCAATGCGTTTAGCAAAGCCTTCTCTTTTTTGCAGAGAGTATAAAGAAGCTCGCTCCTGAAGAAGGCTTTGCTGAAATGCACTGAGCCAGAGCTTTTTAACTACTCATTTAAAGAACACAGAATAAAGAATTTGGATTCTATTTTCTACATCTACTTCTCTCTCTTTTATAACCTGGACTTCCTTGGATGTACCAGTTTCTTTTGTTTTGTTTTATTCTAATGTAAGCCTGCCTCAATCTGCATTTGGTAAATTAGGTTACTTTTGTAATGGATCCATAGGGAGAGATAACACAGATTTATTTTCACATCTGATGTCTCCGGTATGTTGCGCTGAAAGTTTTGCATACCTGCAAAGGTATTGTTATAAGAGGAAAAATGCTTTGCCTTAATGTGTGATCTATCCTTAGTTTTCCCCACTTTGTCACAATGTTTTGTGTTTTTATTTACATTATAGTAATTATTTCTAAGACTGAATTTATATAAATTAAAATGTTATACACATCTTTTATCCTCTTTCTTCGTGAGGTGTTACGCGAACAACAATACAGTTCTGATAACTGACAATGAATAAAACATTTAAAAATCCCATTATCCAAAAAGTCAAATTTGGCTATCCTTGTGTTTCCAAATCCAGGTGTATAAATATCTTTAAGCAAGCAAGCAGTGCTGCCTAGCTGAATGAATACATAGTTTAAAATTACAGTTTGTATCTCTGCAGTAGCAGGCTGGCTCTTTAGGCTTTGTACTTTGGAAACTTAAAAGGCGTGTCCTTCATGAGCAAAACTTTAAAAGAAGCTTGTGTAATACCTTTATTGTTCCTGCTACAATATCACTTTAAAAGTCAGCTTTTGGGTCCTCATAAGAAGCTTCATGAGGCTGGCACTGCAAAGCCTGAGGTGTGGAAGAGTGTTGTAACTACTGAGCTGTTTTCTTCTGCTTAGTACAGTTGGAACTGTTACACATCTGCTCTTTGCTTCTTTTGCTTCCTAGAGGAACTGATCCAACAGGGATTCCTTCAGGTGTTTCCCAATCCGTGACAGATTACTTTACTAAAAGACACAGTAATGGTGGTATGTTACGGATGCACCAGTTTACAGGGCACAGTAGGAGCTGGGTCTAAACTTTAGTCACTGGTGGCCCTGGTAGACACGCTCTCTTCTCCTGTCTGAATTTTAGGAAGTACTGAATGTTATTATGAGCAATGAGTTAATGAACTAACAGGATTCACTTCACAAAGGATCCCCTTCAACAGGTTTCCCTTCTGTAAGCAATCAAATGCTGATGAGTTTGATGCGGTATGCTATATACAATAAAATATAATTAATGGGGATGGATGAATTACTGGCCTTGACGGTTTTGCCTCGGCCTCTTCGGGCCTCTGTTTTCAAGCAACAGAGGGAACAGTCTGTCAACAATATTAGCTGAACGAGGCAAAAATGCTCTTGTTTCATCACGGTGGAGTGTGGGGTGTAAAGAAAAGAAGTTGAATTGTCAATATCATTTTACTGGATTGACTAGTAAAACCACTTTCTGGAAGGTAATGAGTGCTGGTGTCGGAAAACCCTTTGTACTGCAGAGCTGGCCGCCACCACTGACTCCCTGGGTGTCGGAAAACCCTTTGTACTGCAGAGCGAAGGGAGAAAGCTTCGCCGCCGCCACCACTGACTCCCTCCAGTTCTGTGGAGCCTCCTCATGTCTCATTGCAAGGGAGCATGAGTTACTGCCCCTCAAATCCACTGCCTTAATGCAAGGGATTCATTCTGTAATGGCTACTAAACAACATGATGGCTACATATTACCTCTGCAAATGGAGGCAGCCTCAAAATAAAACACGTGAAAGAACAGGAAGCAAGATGCCACAGCACTCATGTCCTGGCTGTAGGTTTCCCATGTGCATCTGGTTGGCCAGGGCACTCAACATTCACGTCCATTTTTCTCATGTCTCAGTTTTTAGACCTTAAATCTCAGGCACTGTTTGTGAACTGCCTCTGGTCACCTCACAGGGTGAAAGGCATCTAGAAGGGAAACAAACACACACATCTGGCAACTCACAATTTTGGGGTTAATTTCTCATGGCTTCAAGACATGCCATTCAGACATGTTCAGAAGCACCCTTGTCCTTTTTGTTACCGTACCTTGCATGCTCCAGAGTTATTGCCATTGCCACCGTCACCCCTGCTGGACTTCACGTGACCTTTAAATTTATCACTTGAGTTTCTATATTTTCTGTCACATGCGCCCCATGTTGCAAATTGTCACTGAAGGATCCATTCCCATCGCATCAGAAGGGGCCAGCCCCTTAGCCTCAAGTTTTGACCTTGAAAGCTCAGGGAACGGGACACTGCTGTGCAGACAACCCTGTTAGCCACTGTGGGATCTGACTGATGCATTGGTTGGACACTCTGGGCTGATCCAGCAGGATTTTTCTGGTATTCTTATATTTTCAAAGCTATAGATAGCCAGCACTTAACACTGGGCCAAGCTTTCTCTGCCTATGATTATCTTGTACTGGAAATAGGAGGCACTGCTCAAATTGCATAGGAAAAGCTGGGAGGGAGTTAATTAAACCCCAAAGCATCAGTCCCTGTCTCCTGTTAATTTTACAACAGCCCCCCACCCCACCTCACCTCACCCCACTCCACTCCACCCCGCTTTGTAGCGACTGCAGTGAGAAGCACTGTAAAGGTATTATACCAGACTGGGAGTTGAACCCAGCAAGCAAAGTCTTGCAGTACTGCCCCTTTCTGGAGAGGCATGAAAACAGAACCTCTATAAAAGCTGTCTTTGAGTGCAATTACATGGTTGAATGTGGTGGTATTTGCTCCATTTATAAAACGGATGAATTTGAAATATACATTTACCATAGCTCAAAGACTGCTTCAACTCTTCTGAGATCTTTTTGCTGCCAAAACAACTTTTTTCTCTGCCTCGAGAGGGCTCCTGCTTTTTCAAGCTGGAAGAATTCAACTATGCTCCCCCCCCCATGGATGTTCTTGTGAATATGGGACAAGTCTATGTGGCGTTCGCTCCTTGTGCCCCTTGCCTGACTCCCCAAACACAGAGCACACAAAGTCAAACCAATACTCCTTTTTACCTGCTGCCACCAGTTGATCACTAAATCAACGTTAATTATGGAAGGATGAAGATGCAGGTCCAAACTTCACTGTCTTTTAAATAAAACTTGTTCATTGTTTACAAATGTTATTATTAATCATAGGTAACTTCTACAGAGTTATTTATCATCAGTCTCAACCTTCTATTTGTCATAACAGTTCTTATTCACTCTTCACTCTAGTCACACCTCAGATCTCCCAAATACCACACTCTATCTCTCCACACTCTCTCACTCAGACTCAGATCTCCCAAATACCACACACTGTCTCTTTACACTCTCTCACTCAGACTGACTCACTGACTCTCTGACTCCGCCTCTATATTACATATCTCTCGGCTCCGCCTCTCAGCAACATTAGCCTGAAATATGAATATTCATAACTACTTAACATAATAAGGGTGAACGCTACAGTCTATAAGTGGTGTTACAGTTGGGGTCTGGTTTCAAATATCCCACTCAGAGAAAACAGTTGGGGCGTTGAAATATGCATGTGTGCCCGCACACACAGAGACACGCAACACATTGGGACTTGATTACCACCACCACCACCACTATGAATGCTTTGTAACTTTGGCAGAAGTTCAGATGAAAGATCATAGAGAGAACCAAGGGACTTACCCTGCAAATAGGGAGAGGTATGGGGATGATGGAATTCCAAAGTGTTTCTTTGTGTGTGTGTGTGTTATGCATGTGTGCCCGCACACACAGAGACACGCAACACATTGGGACTTGATTACCACCACCACCACCACTATGAATGCTTTGTAACTTTGGCAGAAGTTCAGATGAAAGATCATAGAGAGAACCAAGGGACTTACCCTGCAAATAGGGAGAGGTATGGGGATGATGGAATTCCAAAGTGTTTCTTTGTGTGTGTGTGTGTGCATTTCAAGGGGTGTGTGTGTGTGTGTGGGGGGGGGACTTACCCTGATGGAATCCCAAGGTGTGTGTGTGTGTGCGCGCGCGCATTTCAATGTCCCAACTGTTTTCCTTTGTGAGACATTTTCTAGCATTCTTTGACATGTGCGCATGCACTCATACACACACAATACATTGGGATTCCCCCCACCCCCGAAAAAGGCACATCTCATAATTGGCCAATAACAGAATCATCCCTACCTCCCATCCCCTTCCTGGCTCTAGTTTTCTCACACAAAGAATCACAGGGGCAGGACCAGAGGAACAAAGAAAGAAGGGAGGCGGTGGATTGGAATGCCACTTGCATAGCAACCAGCATGAACGGTGAACGCTCAAATCAATCCGCAATCCCTGTGCGAGCACTGATTGTGATTTCAGGTGTAATCTAGGTGACGAATCAAATCACAGAAAGCTGAAATGTTCTGATTCAGCTCTCCAATGTAGTCACACTTTCGGTCTGGTGGGAGTGGAGAGATTTTTCTTCTTGTCCAGGAAGTGACCTTTACATACTTAGATTGCCGTCTGTCACAGGCCAAACCACTGGTTGGGTGTGCATGAAGCCAAAGGTAAGCAGGGAAGTCAGAACGGATGCAAACAGAGAAAATGAGTTTCAGTTCAAGATGAAACCTAAATAAGAGGGTGTGTATTTTACAGAACTACCTGGAGTGACATTCAGTATGGTCATAAAATTCTTAATATGGACAGAAGCTGGTACAGAAGAATAAACACAGAGAGAATTTCTTGAGCCACATGCACTCTGAAGGTCAGTTCATCAGCGCTTGAGAACAAAATGTTTAACTCAGTTGTATAATTTATCGGCTATGTTTCTGTTCCATCTTTCCCCCAATAAGCTTCAAGTGTCATACATACCTGACTCCCGGCTCCTGCCCCCTCCATTTTCTCATCCCAGCAACAACCCTGGGAGGTGGGTTAGGCTGAGAAAGAGTACCTGGCCAAGGGTCAGGCGGTGGGGTACAGCACTGGCATCTCCCAAGGCCCAGCGGATGCTCTAACTACTACACCACCTCATTTCTCATGGCAAACACTCCCTTTAAAGACCTTTTCTACCCACATTGATAACTTGGAATGGCTGCTGTCTTGGTTTCGTTCTTCCTTTTTGTTTCTTTGAAGGCAAAATGTATTGGAGACGACTGACATTAGGAACCTCAGACTTTAAACAATCTCTATTCCCCCCTCTGAACAAACAACCTGGCCTGCAAATGAGGCAGGAAACAGGGCTGGGTGAGGCAAAGCATTCCCCACTTGCTCTAAGACAAGCCACTTTTATGATCTTACGCTATGTTTAAACAAGGAGATCTTTAAACAAAGGAAGGGTGCTTGCATTCACCCAAAGGTGTCCAGCATACCTGCACCACAGTTGGCTCCTTAACAGATAGTATAGGAGGAAATGGGGAAACGTGGACAAATAATCCACAGAATCATAGAACTGTAGAGGAGGAAGGGATCTCATGGATCACCAAGTCAAGCCCCCTGTACAAAGCAGGAAACCCACAACTAAAATATCCTTAACAGGTGGCCTTCTAACCTCTGTTTGAAGAACTCTGTTTAACTGAGCCCTGTGCCCTAGTGATTAAACTGCAGCACTGCCCTCGAGCTTCTGTTCTTGATCTAAGTTTTATCTCGACAAGTTCAGGGAGCCATCTCAAGGTTAACTCAGCTTTCCATCTGTAAAATGAGTATCCCGCTCTCTGGGGAGCCAATATCCTTAACAGGTGGCCTTCTAACCTCTGTTTGAAGAACTCTGTTTAACTGAGCCCTGTGCCTTAGTGATTAAACTGCAGCACTGCCCTCGAGCTTCTGTTCTTGATCTAAGTTTTATCTCGACAAGTTCAGGGAGCCATCTCAAGGTTAACTCAGCTTTCCATCCGTAAAATGAGTATCTCGCTCTCTGGGGAGCCAAGTATTCCGTGCTTAATTATGTTGTAAACTTAATTTAGAGCACTACTCTAACTGCAACTTATGGAGTTGGAATAGGCCCCAGTGAATCAATGGAGGAGTTGACCCAAGAAATCTCTTGTCAATTTAGTGGGCCTACTCTAATGTAATTTACTACACTATGCAACAGGATTTGGCCTATGGTTATTATTATTAATTTACTTTGGCCACAATCAATGCTCTCTCAAATTTTTGAACCCTTTGCACAAGAGCCTTGCTCCATGCCTGTGCCCCCAGGGGGAGGGGGTGTCGTTCCAAAATCAGCACTAAACAGGGGGCAACACTGGCTGCTGGTGTGCAGTCCCGACGGAGCTCTGTGTGCAGCTTAGAGGGAACGCAGGCTACAATTAATAAGGGTTAGATGTATTAATTCCACACAGTGTTAGGAAGTCATTTCTTTACCCACCAAGCAGTGGTGCAGGCTTTAAATCCACTAGTACTCTTTTTCATTGCTATGGTGTTGTGTGTGTTTCTTTTTGCTATGATGGGTGGATGGTGAAGAGATATTACGGGTAAGCACGTTTGAAACCAAAGCCTGCAGTTCGTAAGAGTGTTATAACGAAAGGGATGAGGCCTTTTGATCTTATTCACAGTTGCTTAAAAGGAAGGTTGCAGTCACATACTGTAGCACTGCACTGTCTTTTTGATTTCATAGAGGGACTGACCGCCAAGTAACTATGGATAGAACTGAAGATGAATTAAGGATGCAGTCTCACACAGACTTACCTGGAAGTCGCTCCCATTCAATGCAAACGAACTGACTAGATGAGGATTGCACTGCTTCATTTTGCCTAGTGTAAAAAGTTCTCCGGTTGCAATGGCACAATAGCCCCTTCTCTGTTTGAAAATATAAAAGGATCATCTATTCAAGTTTGGTCGAGAGAGAGTTCATTACCTTTTTGTACCAGTCCTGCCTTTCTGCAACCTGAGATCTTTCTATGCCCAGCAGAATCAAATGCCACTCCTTTTAAAGCCGGTTACAAGGTACAGATTCTACCCCCATAAATTGCTCTTAAAACAATTTTTTTGGTTAGAATCCCATTTGAAGAAGAGTTTAGATGCACTGAGGACTTACATAGTATTTCATGGGCTTTTTAAAATGAGTCCTCAGAAAGGTATTGTTTTGTTTCTGCTGTATGGAATGTTCTGATGGACCAATGGCTATTTGTGGTTTGCATCTTTAAAGCTTTTTCCTGCCCTTCTTCCTTGGCACTAAAGGTGCTGCTACTGTACTTTTTCTTCCTTGCATCATCCAATAGTCTTAGAAGGGCTTGGTGACCAACAAAGTTAATGGCAAACAACTTGTGGCTTTCCCAGATGATACTGAACTATAGCTCCCATCATCTCTCATAATTGGGTATGCTATCTAAGGCTGATGGATGCTGAAGTCTGAAAAACATCTAAGATTAAACTTTCTTTATTTTTGTTCTGCACCATCTATCATGTAATGCTAATTCTTGTTTCTCTGCCCTGCACCAGCAGCTTCAGCCTCAAACTGTAGCAGTTATTATTATTATTATTTTGTCTATGCCATTAAAAACACAGCATACTGCTTTGGACACAACCCAGCTACTTAACAAAAACTGATGTCTTTTTTTAAAAAAAAATCAAAACTCTGTTAATACAATCCAATGGGAAATAACCAATTAGAGGGAGGAAAGCAATAATAAAAATAATAACCATTCTAAAATGGACTCTTCTCCTAACTCAGTCTCCTTACCCCAATCTTTGCTTCTTAATTAAAGTTTAAATACCACGAGGCTAGTGTCTTTAATCAGCTCCATTAAATTATTTGTGTTATTACATCGATAAGAAATGGCATCTTTCCCAACAGCATATTTAGACAGTAAATGTTAGGCTCAAGCATGGGGGAGTCATTAGAGATCATCACATGTAGTTAGCCAAGGTGGCTAGAGCAGGGAATTTTGCAGGGCCAGTCTTGCCATTAGGCAGGATAAGGCAGGTGCCTTGGGCAGCCGTGGGCCAGCGGTGACTGTGCCCATTGTGGCTAGCGGGAAGTAAGGCACAGCAGCCTAATGGTAGAGTCAGAGATGGCAAGCCACTGCTACCTCCTGCTGCTGCCCTTTCCACCTTCCTTCCTTTTCCTACTTGGAGGCAAAGATGGGTCCCTGACCTCCTCGCCAGGCACAGCCTAAACTTGAGGTACAGTAGTGCCCCATTTGCCCCAATGGACCTGTCACAACTGGCACTGGCAATCTCCTAGGTAGTTGTTTTTCATTATCTTTCGGTGCATTCTTCTCTCTTACAGAAGAGTGCATGCCTTGTAACTTGTCTGAGGTCCATTACACCAGCTTGTTACCTCAGGTGTGGTACCGTTTCCCCGAAAATAAGACCTAACCTGAAAATAAGCCCTAGCATGATTTTTCAGGATGTTCGTAATATAAGACCTACCCCCAAAATAAGCCCCAGTGAAGTGAAACCCCACCCTCCACCCTTGTGCAGCAACCAGAAGATGATGGCATGGCTGTATTTGAATAAATGTAGATTGTCGTACATGACAAAAAAATAAAACATCCCCTGAAACTAAGCCCTAATGTGTTTTTGGAGCAAAAATTAATATAAGACCCTGTCTTATTTTTGGGGAAACGGTAGAAGATGCTGCTATCCCATCATCAGTATTCAGTTAAAGTTCAAATGCCAGTCTCATCAACTTCTGCCTTTGGGAGAGAGGAGGGGTTGCCCTCGTGCGCTTCACCTCAGGACCCAAACTGCCTTGGCCAACCCTTCAAATCTGGGTGTACAAACAAAATGAGTTGGTCCCGATTGTCTGAAAGGTTGCCTCCTTCTGTAGGACTTTGCCCAGAATTTGAGATCTTTACCTGCGGCCTTGTGATCTGTCCCCGACCCCACCTCAAGAGGTGAAGGTGGAGAATATCTGTGGCAGGGCTTTCTGGACAACCAGAGCCCCTCAGATGTGGGACTCTTTCCTGAAGGAATTCAGGCTTGCTTGGTTCCTCTTAAGTTCTCAAGTTAGCAATCAAAACTGTATTAGCCTGGCTGGTTGTTCAAAGTGGCTTTTAAATAGTTGTCTGTCAGTTTACACGGAATATATTTTAGATATACTGTCTGAAACCCAGTTGGTTTGTATAATAAGTCACAACCTGAGTAGGTCCAATTGAATCAGTGTATCTTACGAAGAAGGTGACTCATCAAATCCCCCAATTCAGTGGTCCTACTCTTGTGTGACTTAATTACACTAAACAACAGGATTTCAACCACTTTATTATCTAGCACTTGGGGGGGCCTTGGGGAGCAGAAAAGGGGTGTATAAATATTGCTTTATTGTGCATGTGTTCTTAATTCAGTCGTGACATATTAGAAGACAGGTGCTGGCCCCTACCCCCATCAACACAGATTTTAAATTGTCATTGTGTTCCATGCTTGGACAGGACATACAAGAACAGGCAGGAATTGTTGCCGTCTGAAAAAGCCTGCTTGCCGCGTCCCTCCCTAGGAGATGTTACGTGGTGTGTGGGCAGCCAACTGCACTACAGTGTTGCTTCCCTTGTCCTGAATCTGCAGCCCAAAGAAAGGTCTGGGATGCTGCCAGCAACTTCTGAGCTCTTTTTGGCCTTGACTGTCAAGGATGGGAACTGGACAAGGAATGAAGCGTGCAACCAGGGTTATGTTCCATGGCACCAACGGATGTCCTTTCCTGAAACAGTCATCCCATCCACACACACATCCCTGATTTTAAAACCAATCTCCAGCCCTTTAATTTATGGAGACACATGCAGGCAGATGTCTCCCAGTGGGTAGCAAAGGGAACACTATACATTAATAATAATTTCATGCCATCAAGTTGAACCCTTTCCAGGATTTCCTAAATACAGAGTGGTTCACCAGTCCCTTCTCCTGGGGGCATCCTGGGACCCTGTGGCTTGCCCAAGCCGATGCAAGCTGGCTCTTCTCCCAGGAGGAACCCTGGGGAATCAAATTCCCAGCCTCTGGCTCTGCACCCAGATACCTGGCTCACTAAACAAGGCCTATTCTTATCTGTAAAATGTGTCTATTTGCTGAGAGACATAGATGTTGTCCTGTCCTTGTTGTCCTTCCACTAGAAGGGAAGGAACTTTTTCTTCAGGTGAGCTTTGAGTATTGATGGGTAGCTGAGGATAGGGTTTTAAAAGAGGTTGGTGCTATACTTCCTTGCTGTGCATTTAAATTGTTTTTTATTTGATTGTGCTTTGGTACTGGATTGGTTCAATTGTGTTTTAATAGTATAACTGTGTGTGGTTTTATTTGTAACTTTTAAATTTCATCTTCTCACAAGGTGCCTTGATTCCCAGTTTGGGGAGAAAGATGGGATAAAATAAAAGGCTGGGGAGATTTCATGGGGGAAGAACTAATGTCAGGAATTATGGGTTCTTCATCTTTTTTATAGGGTGCTTGTGTGCCTCTTTGTGCCTTCTTTGAGAGAGGACAGTTCTCTGTCTGGAAATCTGTTGGAACACAATCTTCTCTACCTGATGGCATCCTCTAATTGTCCATTCATATCTAGTATCCAGGTACAGACAGAACAGGCATGTAAACAGGTTGCCTGGACAATCTTCCCTATTATATACTGCAGCTCTATAAATCTATCACAATTATTTACACATTTGTATCTTTCCACATGAATTAACACATGTTATTGCACATGCAAGGGACGTGGTGGCACTGCGGGTTAAACCACTGAAGCCTCTGTGCTGCAAGGTCAGAAGACCAGCAGTCGTAAGATCGAATCCACATGACGGAGTGAGCCCCCGTCGCTTGTCCCAGCTCCCGCCAATCTAGTGGTTCGAAAGCATGCAAATGCAAGTAGATAAATAGGGACCACCTCGGTGGGAAGGTAACAGCGTTCCGTGTTTAAGTCGCACTGGCCACGGAAGATTGTCTTTGGACAAACGCTGGCTCTACGGCTTGGAGACGGGGATGAGCACCGCCCCCTAGAGTCAGACACGACTGGACAAAAATTGTCAAGGGGAACCTTTACCTTTACCTTTACCAGTGGGAAGGTAAACGGCGTTCCGTGTCTAGTCACGCTAGCCACATGACCATGGAGGATTGTCTGTGGACAAACACTAGCTCTATGGGTTGGAAATGGAGATGAGCACTGCTGCCTAGAGTCGGACACGACTGGACAAATTGTCAAGGGGAACCTTTACCTTTATTGCATATTAGCTAGCTTCCTAGCTCTACTCATGTCACTTGAACAAGCCAGACTGGAAGGTTGAGGGGCTTAACCCCGAGAGAGGCCCAGAAGGAGAGAACAAGAAACCCTTCTTGGTGGTGGCCCCTCATCTTTGGAAAAACTTATCCCTGGAGATTCAATCCCCACCCTCACTGGGAATTTTTAATAACAAGTTGAAGACTTGGTTCTTCCAGCAGGCCTTGCCCCCCCTCCCATTACATAGCTTCTTTATCCCATCTTGGATCCTGTTTTCTTTATTGATTTTTCTGCTCTCATTATCAAAGTTATTTTAATGCTGTTTTTATCTTTATATTTTGTAAGCTGCCCAGAGTAGGTTCCCAAATCTAAATGGGCAGGGTAAAAATGGAACAAATAAAAATAAATAAATAAATTCCTCTTTTTTCTTGACAATGTGTTGGTGGCCATTTTGCTCTCTTCCTGTTTGCATCATGTAAATTTCTCCCCGCAGCTCTTTATTATAGTCAGTTCAGGTTAAGAGGCAAAATCCAAACAACAGAACAAGAATAACAAAACAATTTATTCTGTGAATCTCTACAGCACAGGTGTTCTTCATTTCTGGAGAATGACCTGGGACTTAAGGGTGGCCTTCTAGATGCAGTTGGATGGCATCTCCCATCAAACCCAGCCAGCATAGCAGATCAGGGTGGTGGGAAGGCCATAAAAGATGTGGCAGGTATCCTTCTGACATAGTGACAGCATATCTGACTAATTATTCACTCCCCACCACCTCAGTGTATCTCAATAAAGGACTGCTCAGCTCAAAGCTGAGGAAAAAGAGAGCTGTGAGTGCTCACTATATAGTGTGCTTTATTTCCTCAGAAAAGAAAAGGACTTTTTGGCCAAAGAGCAGAAATCCATATACTGTAGGTTCGCCAGATTTTTCCCCCATTAGGGACTCCTGTTTCTTTAATGATCTTAGGACTAACAGCAGTTCCGAGAACATATCCAGTTTACCACAGAAAAACAGTGGCTACTCTAGGCGCTATCTCACGATTCTCTCTCCAGTTTGAGATAGCTATAGGGAATTATGTAACTGCTTGTGTCAAGTATTTCTGCCATCAAGTGATTATATTTGTCAAATTTTGAAGTAGCACATACACTTGTCCCTTAATGGCACTTTGATCTGCAGATAACAGCAGGTGTAGTCTTATTTTATAACACGCTCGGAAAAACTTCATCTGCTGATTCCTCTACATCAAACCAAAAGTATACAAGCTGAGTTGGGATCTTCTGTCACTGCCAGCTATCTGGCAAACTACAATCAGGTATTGTAAAGCCTACTACTGTACATACATTTCAGTGAGACTGAGTTGCCAGGAACGGCCTACCAAAACAATGTAGCCCTTCTGCTGTTCCTCTGCTCGCACAGAAATAGGCATTGGCCTTGAGGAACAATTGTTGTTGGACTGTTCAGAATTCATCCCAGTAATGTGGGCATTATTAATTTTTCCAGGTCCTAATTATCTCTGCTAATGTGTGGACTGGAAACTGCTGTTACAAAACAATTACAAGGGCTTGTTGCCTGGCATGCAATCATAATTTCTCATTAAACATTATAGGATCCATTTTTCATGCACATATTTCTGTGTTTATAATGTTTATACCACAATTGTTCACTGTGGACAGTGATGCCCCAGGTGGTTTACATCAATATAATTAAAAAGGAAAAATAAAAGCTCAAACACATAACAAAAACCAACCAATAGATTTTACACACACATACGTATATACTGTATATATTTAACTTAGAAAGTAGACCAAGGACCAAAAATCAGGTATGCTTTAGATCTAGCAGAATAAAAGGTTCACCTGATGCCTAAATGAATACCAGATGTAAGAGGGAAATTTCTACATACAGGATTGTTTTATTATTGCTGTTCTGCTATTACTAATTTCTTGATATGTGTACTTGGAGTGGAGGGTATTGAAGGAGTGCTCTCCTTCTCTAACTATTTATGATGACAAAAAAGCGCTCCCAGTGCTGTTGCTGACAGGCCATTTCTCTACCGTTCTTGCCACAACGTGGATGGTCAAGGAAATGCAGCCTTTGAGCATAACAGGATGAGTCTGAAAGCAAGGATAACAAAGCCAACCACCAGAAGCATGTAAGGACAAAGCCAAGGGGGGGGGGTAGGGTTGGATTCCAGAGAAGTAGTCACAGCACAGATTCTGTGGCAACACTAATACTTGCAGCCGGGTTCTGGTATATCCTGTAACACACTCACACTGAACAACTTTGGTGGAAAGACAAACTCGCTGTTAATATTATTTTCATATAAATATGCTTTCTGTTTTACAGCAAAGCAAACAAGGAAGTTTAAGTAAAATCAACAGAATGCAAACAAAGATTAAAAACAAACTGTAAAAAACACTTGATACTGTGCCAAAATGTGAGCAGAGAACAGAGACAAGAATAATACACTGTGGCAGATATTTCGCTATTCTGCTTGAAATATATCTCCCGTTGGAAGGGTGGCAAACATGTTACCTAGCTCCTGCCCTTGTGCCTTTTTTTTTATCAGCAGCATGATCTGATCTATACTTACGTTGATGAGCTGCCTCTTTTCCCAAAGGCACATGAACAGGTGATGTAAGGTTTTTCTGTGTGCTGTGAGTCTTCACTTGCTATTTCTATATTGTAGATAGAGCTACTATTAAAGGCACAGGCATGGAGAAGGCAAACTTCTTCTGGCTGCTGGAAATCCTACTTGTAGAACTCACACTTTTAAGGTGGGTATTTGTAATGACTGTTCTGTAAACAATTAATTCTTGCAGGCTAATGAAGGGTTGCTAGCTATTTTCACTGACACCACTTCTATTCCTTTTATAACTGTTCAACAAACAGTTGAACAGTCTTCTCAGCAAAAACACAAAGTGATATGAACAGCTCTGCTAATGGCTGACTTTCTACTTGTGACATAGTTGTTAAAATGTACAGGAAACCTACCCTAAAAATATAATCAGCAGCTACATCTTTTCCATGTCACAGGTATTATTTGCACCATGCAGAATGGCCAGTTTGAGAACTCTTGTCAGAGAGGAAACTGGGGACATCAGATTATTAGATAACCTACCACTTTGCTTCAGGACACCTAAACACTATTGTATTTTGTAGGATTGAAATACTACAACATCCTTTCAGTGGTCCCTATTTAACCTCATCCACTCAACGACTGCCTTTTAAGGGACAGCAAGTCTCCTTTCTTCCAATGGGCATTCTGTAGTACGTATATATCATAAAATGGCAGTTAGTTAATTTGTTGTCGTTTTATGCCCTCAAGTTGCTTTCGGTTTCTGGGGACCCAATGAATTGGTTATTTCCAGAAGATCCAGTCCTTTACAGGCCTGTTCAGATCTTGCATACCATGGCTTCCTTTATTGAGTCAATCTGTCTCACATTTAGTCTTCCTCTTCTCCTGCTGCTATCAACTTCCCCCTGCATCATTGCTTATTTACCTTGAGAAAATAAAAAAAGGGAATCCTTGTGGTACTTTAAAAACAGACTTATTTCAACATGCGATTTAGGAGATTACAATCCGCTTCCTCAAGAACATTTTGACATGAAAAGACAGTTGCGGCAGCAGCTCTAGTTTAAGCGAAGTCTGTGATCAGGTGCACGTTTACCTCTGAGTAAACTGACTAACATACGGATCAGGCTGCAAGCATGCATTATGTTAATCACCCCTACTTTAGAAAGATTATTAAGGTCAGAATCCTTAGGAATACATAATGACGGGGGGCTCGGGCAGTAATCCTCACCACGAGAAGAGCAACGTGAGAGGTACGTGACAGCGTGCCTACTCCCATTCGTGAAACGTTGGCGAACGCGCCCTGAGGAAAAACCCGTAGTCTGCGGAATTTAGAAGGATCTAGCACTACATGTCCCAAAATGCACCGCGGCGGCTCTGTGGCGTCGGCTGGGAATTACTGTCCTGAGCTCCCGCCCAGCCCGTGCTGTCACGTGACCCGCATTCGCTTGAAACCCACGTGGGAAGGTGGAACGAAGGCTCTTCCGGGGCAGAATGCTGCAAAGGATAGTGGTGAGGGGGGCGCACATGTGGGTTGAGCTTCATGATGATGATGATGATGGGGGTGGCTGGGTGGGAGGGAGAACAGGCTGCCGTCAGCGGTGATCGTGGGTGCTTGGGATGGGGTTGTCTGGGGATTAAAGGGGTACATCTTTAAAAGACACATCTCGGTACATGTTCCTCACCCGGCCTCAGGTTCATTCGGGAGCCGGTGGAAACAAGCAACCGCACCAGGCCACACGAGAAAAGAGGAAAAGAAAAACGCAAACAAAAAAGCTCTGTGAAAGTAGACCAAGCCCACCCAATCCCGACATGTTGTGTCTAGCAGAGAAACCAGTCAGATGTTTCTGATAATCTTCATACAATAGGCCGTTTGCTCCCTTTCCCAGCCAAAGGTTAAGAACCACTGAAGTAGAACAAGCCCACCCCCACCCCCCCGACATGTTGTGTCTAGCAGAAAACCCAGTCAGATGTTTATGATAATCTTCCTACAATAGGCCGTTTTGCTCCCTTTCCCAGTCTGTCTTTATGGGGAGGAGGGAGGAGCTCCATTTTGAGCTGTCACAGCTTGTAGATATTATTCCCACCCCGCAAATTTGTCTTAGTCATTGATCATCATCCCATCTTCTAGCACTAAACACTATAGATTACTATTTGTTGGATTGATGTCTTGCCTTCCCTGCAAGCTCAGGGTAGCATACATGGGCCTAATCCTGAGATCAGATGTGTTACCAGTGAGGGTTAAGAGGACAGCCTGGCCCCTGGTTGCTCAGTGAGCTTCATGACCAAGTAAAGAGTTTGGTCTCCCCAGTGTTAGACTAGTAACTCTTACCACTACGTTCTGCTGGCTCTATGTAAACCAATATTATTTTCTAAGCTATAAATCTACTGTAATCCTGATTGTTTTAAGAGGTTATCTTGTTTCAATGTTAATAGGGATGGAGAGTAATTAATATTAAACATTAGCAAATTATATGAGCAGTTAGTGATTTTAAAAATGTGTATCATGTTCCTCACACTTAGCTCCCCCCCCCCATTTGTCCCTGCAGCTGACTGACTTAAGCGAAATTCCAGTGCTTTTAGCTTTCTCTCCTAGGAAGCCTAAAACCAATGCCTTGTCTGTCTTTATGGAGGCCCATAACACACCCACACTCAACTGTTGATCTCCTCAGTGTGATGTAATGAAGGCAAAGGAGAAGGTCAGAGGTGTACATAGTAGGTCAAGATGCATACTGCAGGCTGTTCAAGTGGTTTATTGGGGATGCCAATATTTAATAATTACCTCTCATCAAGTCAATTATAAATTATGGTGACTCTTCCCAGAGTTTTCTAGATATAAAATACCTAGAAGTGGTTTTGCGAGTCCCTCCTTCTTTTGGTGCTTTGGAACCACACAGTTACTTAAAACAACCCAGGCTAGTTGTTCTTTTTGGAGGAAAAGTGAGAATTTGAACTCTAGACCTCTGGCTCTGCAGTCACATGCTCCAACCCACTGAGTTGGATGAAGTCTGGGGCATGTTCCTCTCACCCGATGACATTTGCATCCTGTTGTTGCTTGTGACATTGTCAGGGATTCTGTAGCACATGTTTCTGATAGAATATAAAGTGGTATGAGCAGCCACATGATGGCAAGATGAAGAGGGCTGGTTGATGCCGTTTGTTTGAGAGCTGCAATAGCAACAAAAAGGAGAGAGAAGCTCACAAAACAAACCCTGTTTGTCAACCCTGAACTCACTAGCAGCCATGAGGAAATTGCTATCCTTAAACTACAGCCTTTTATACTTCTACAACAACACAGGGGTAATGCTAGTCCCAATGTAGGAGTAATTTGTTGTTTAGTCATTAAGTTGTGTCCGACTCTTCGTGATCCCATGGACCAGAGCACACCAGGCCCTCCTGTCTTCCACTGCCTCCTGGAGTTGGGTCAAATTCATGTTGGTAGCTTCGATGACACTGTCCAAACATCTCATCCTCTGTCGTCCCCTTCTCCTCCTGCCTTCACACTTTCCCAACATCAAGGTTTTTTCCAAGGCCTCCTTTCTTCTCATGAGATGGCCAAAGTATTGAAGCCTCAGCTTCAGGATCTGTCCTTCCAGTGAGCACTCAGGGTTGATTTCTGGTAGGGGTAACACCAGATCTCATTTTGGGGGGCTGTTTTTTAGGAGTTGCTGATAGTGCACACACTGTTTTGCACACTTGAAAAGAGACAGAAGCATGCTAAATGTTATTGCCATGGTTATAAAAGTAACATATGGCAGTATGAAAAGCCTGTCCCTTAATTTGCATTTCCCTTACCTGAAACAATCGGGTTCTGTTTTCTTGTTTATAATGGTAAAGGAGAGTGATCTCCCTGTATTCGGTGTGTACTGAGCATGTGAGGGTGGCAGGGTGTCCATAGAGCCATTGTGGTTTAACTGGACAGAGTACTGGATGTAGACAGAGCCAGCCATGAAACCCACTGGGTGACTTTGGGCCAATCCCTGTCTTGCAGCCTGACTGATGTCACAAGGTTGTCATGTGAATAAAACAAACGGGCAGGAGAGCCACCTTCAGCTTGTTGAGGAGAGGTGGGACAGAAATGTCACAAATAAGTGAATAACAGTTGAGCTTTCAGGGTGTGCTTAACAAGAGACCACACAAGAACAATTAATTATGTCAGCTTACCTAAGCGGATGCTTAACAAGAGACCACACAAGAACAATTATGTCAGCTTACCTAAGCGGACTTGTCTCAGGTAGGAGAGGCCTAGTCTTTGCGGGGCAGGGTAGTTCCGAAGTAGCAGAGGTGGTCCTAGTAGTTACCAGGAGGACTGAGGGTTTGTGGGATAACCAAGCTTTTTTCTCTCCTCAGCACCCCTTGCGGCTCGGATGCCACGTCCTCTCTGTTTCTCGGAGCCTTCACCAATCTCCGAGGAGTCACATCCCCCTCATCCCTATTGTGGTGGAACAGACAGTAAGCACAGCATGTTGGGGAGGGTGCCTCGTTCTCTGTGTACGGGCATGAAAGGGAAAAGGCTAAGGAGCCAAAGGATGGGAGTATGATAGTTTGTTTTTTTGCCATGGTTTTACTTAGGGTAAGAAAATGGGGAGGAGAGATCAAATGTCCTCACATGTGTATATGTTATATATCCATGATTGTGAAATTCCAACTGCAATTTATTATATATGCCTTTTTAAGGCTTAGACCTGGGGTGTCCCAACTTTTCAATATGAGGGCCACATCAATTTTGCCATGGTTTTACTTAGGGTAAGAAATTGGGGAGATCAAATGTCCTCACATGTGTATACGTTATATATCCATGATTGTAAAATTCCAACTGCAATTTATTATATGTGCCTTTTTAAGGCTTAGATCTGGGGTGTCCCAGCTTCAATATGAGAGCCACATCATATATTTCATACATTTTTGAGGGCCGAAGGAGGGAAGGGGGACCCCTAGCAGATCCCCCACCCCTTTCCCTCCTCTTCCTGTGCCCTGGCCAGATAAAAAAGGCAAGGGTGTGGCCCATAGGCCGTAGTTTGGAGATCCCTGACCTAGACCCTTCTTAGTTTCAATATAATGTAATGCATATTTTGGAAGCTGGACATGTCAAGAAAGGACATTCCCCAGTGTGCTCGTGGCTTAATGCTTTAACCTTCCATCACTACTTTCCTTGGTTTTCATCAGCACTCTTCTCAGGCCCTTCTAATAGGGTAGGCCGCACCACTGGGCAGAGTGAGGCAATTTCTTCAGGGGATAGCTACCAAGAGCTATTGCTTCTGAGCCTGTGTCTTTTCCCTTCCCTAGTCCTGCACCCCTTCAAATGCTCTTACCATAGATGTGGTGGGGAACGTTTTTCCATCATCAGTGCTGAAATAAGTTTCAGCTGCTGGTCTAGTCAAATTAAACAGAAGAAATTGAGATGGGCATTTTCACCTCCACAACAAAACACCTAGGGCCAGCCTTGCTTTCAAAGACAGGTTAAGGTTAACTCTGTTCCGTACTTTAAATGAATGCAGTGTCAGCAAGGTTCCTGCTAAGCTTGGTCCGTGCATGACTCCACTTCCTTCCGTGCAGTGGTCTTCTTCCTCCACGCAGCAATCATCTTAGGTTCCGGTCACAATGGAACCTAGTGCACGGGGGTTGGAATCACAGGCGCACACAGGGGTGAAGCAGTGTGGGAGAGAGAGGCGGAGCCATGCCAGTGGGGCTGAATATTAGAGGGTACGTTGAGCATCAGTGTAAAACAGAATTTTGCTGTGCTGTTTCCTTTGGAGGACAGTCATAGGACCTTGAGGCTTAGCCTCTGCCATTATATCCAAAGCCTTGAGGGCACTCATGCTGACTTCCTCTTCATTTAGGGTCGTGGTGAGCGAGCCTATGACATCTACTCTCGCCTTCTGAGGGAGCGCATTGTCTGCGTGATGGGTCCGGTAAGTGCACAAACTACTCCTGCCAATGTGACAACAGGGCCAGCCTCTCCTGGGTCCAGTTCCTGCTGCTTCCCATTCTGAATTGGTTTTTGTATGCAGGATTATCGTACTTAACATTTAGGAACAAGTTACCCTTATGGCTGAAAGGATGGGAGACATGCCTATTGACACTTTAATCGCTGGAACAGCAATTAGTAAGATTTCCACCTGGCAGGGCTTTTAGAAGCCCCCCCCCTCCAAAAAAGCTTCTATGAACATTGGTAAGAAAACCAGTATAAATAATTTATTGACTAAAATATTTCTGTCCTGCCTCATATCTGAAGATCCTGTAATGTAGTATAGTCAGTAAAATAGTGTAAATTTTAAAAATAGACAATTTGAGCAGTTAAAACAAGGAAGACACAACATAATCAAAATAAAACTCATAATGTAGAAATTTCTCTTTGGCGTGCCCTGCCGTGCTCTGGTCCATGGGGTCACGAAGAGTTGGACACGACTTAACAACTAAACAACAACGAGAAATGTGTAAAGCAAAGAGTAAATTATGTACAATATGAGAAAATGCCCAAAGTAGTTTTTGATTTGATTTTGAAGAACTGACCGTGTTCTGACTCTCCCTTGCATTTTAGTAAAGTGCGTTGTTTGTCTCCAAAGCCCAAGGCATGGAGCCACCTCCCCTTTCTTGTACATATGTAGGCATCCTTCAACGAGAAATGTGTAAAGCAAAGAGTAAATTATATACAATATGAGAAAATGCCCAAAGTAGTCTTTGATTTGATTTTGAAGAACTGACCATGTTCTGACTCATTTTAGTAAAGTGTGTTGTTTGCCTCCAAAGCCCAAGGCATGGAGCCACTTCCCCTTTCTTGTATGTATGTAGGCATCCTTCAGTCTTGAGAGACTATGGTAAAGTGCTCAGAATGGAGGACTTGGAACAGCGTCTAGTGTGGCTGAGAAGGCCAATTTGAGAGTGACAGTCCCTTCCACATTGAAGACAAATACAATCTGTCCCCCGTCCAGCTCCCTGATTTTGCTGGTTTCAGGACTGCCTCTTTGCGTCGGCCTGTCTCTTCAAATTGGGAGAGGCCATGATGCAACGCCTGCCTCCAGGCTGAACACTCAGATGTCAAAGTTTCCCATCTGTTGAGGTCCATTCCTAAGGCCTTCAGATCCCACTTGCAGATATCCTTGTATCGCAGCTGTGGTCTCCCTCTGGGGTGCTTTCCCTGCACTAATTCTCCATACAGGAGATCTTTTGGGATCTGACAGCCATTCTCACAACATGCCCAAGCCAATGTAGACGTCGCTGTTTCAGTAATATATACATGCTAAAAATTCCAGCTGATTCTAGGACTACTCTATTTGGAACTTTGTCCTGCCAGGTGTCTACGGGGATGTGGTGCTGCTGCGGGTTAAACTGCAGAAGCCTCTGTGCTGAAAGTTCAAAGACCAGCAGTTATAAGATCGAATCCACGCGACAGTGAGCTCCCGTCGCTTGTCCCAGCTCCTGCCAACCTAACAGTTCAAAAGCATGTAAAAATGCGAGTAAATAAATAGGTACCATCTCAGTGGGAACGTAACGGCGTTCCGTGTCTAGTTGCGCTGGCCACATGACCATGGAAACTGTCTTCGGACAAAATGTTGGCTCTTTGGCTTGGAAACAGGGATGAGCACCGCACCCTAGAGTCAGACACAACTGGACGAAATGTCAAGGGGAACCTTTACCTTTACCTGTCAGGTGATGCCAAAAATGTGTCAGAGACAACACATATGGAAGGTGTTCAGCTTCCTCTCCTGCTGTGTACAAAAGGACCAGGACTCACTACAATACAGGAGTGTGCTCAGGACACAGGCTCTATAGACCTGGATCTTGGTATATGCCATCAGCTTATTACTAAGCCATACTCTAGAGAACATGGTAGCTGCTTTGCCAATGCGTCTATCCAGCTCGACATCTAGGGAGAGCAGGCTTGATTTAGCAGGATTCTCTTGTCTTTCTCCAGGATGAGTCTTTTCACAGAAAGAAAAGACTCTGGGCGGTGGGGTATGTGTGTTGGACCTGCTCTTTGCTCCAGCACAAGACTGGTTTCTTGCAACAAGGACTTCCCTTGCTTCTCAGGCGCTGCCTTGTGTTTTCTGTCTACAGATTGATGACAATGTGGCCAGCTTAGTCATTGCACAGCTGCTGTTTCTGCAGTCAGAAAGCAACAAGAAGCCCATCCACATGTATATTAACAGCCCAGGTGAGTGCCAGCAAGAGGCAAGGAACAGCATAAGAGCATAGCAGGTATTCAGCATTTTGAAGGGTCTCCACTACACTCAGAGAAGAGAAGCTTTGAAGCAAATATGAACAGCTTTCCCACCTTCAAAGGCACCTGCCCCTTTGAAGTAGTCATGGGTAACCTCTTGCTCGCCAGACATTTTGTATTATACCACTACTTGCTATTGGCTGTGCTAGCTGAGGCTTTTGGAAATTAAAGTCACAAACATCTGGAGGGCTAAAGGTTAACTAATGTTTCCTTCCCCTATCTGTTCTTTTCCCGTCAAGGCCTTGGCTTGTCCCTGTCCCCAGTGTTGTTGCTCTGCTGGATACTTTGGTGGATCTGCCCCACTCTCCATTCTGCTGGAGTTATTTCGGAACCTTTGTTGCACTGGATAAAAGCCATGATCTTTGTCACTGAACATTCAGTTCGTTAGCTGTAGCCCCTGAAAGAATGAATTACTTCTTGCCCTTCCAATATTGTAGACATATTTTTACCTAAGCATAAGCAGCATCAGAATATCGTTTGGTAAGAGATGGTATTAAATCTCATTACTACTACAACATTTCAAAAGTAATGCTGCTATGAACTCTACGGGTTCGTAAGGCTCTCTTCCCTCCAAGATTATTGGACTGGTTTCTGGTCCCTATATGCATGCACCTTAGTTTTGACCTTGGTGGAAAATAGTTGATGGTATATGTATGTGATCCTTGCGTCCTGGAGTCAAGAAGTCTACAATAGCAGGGATTCCTGAGAGACTTTAGAGACTTAAGAAATGTATTATGGTATGAGTGTTTTCAGGCTATAACTTTTTTAATCAGATATTACTGATCTACCCCCTTTCCATTATCTCTCTGGAGTACTGGCTCTGGATTGAGCATCTGCCAGTATTGCCGTTTCTGAGCTATTATCAAAGTTGCTTGGCTTTTTGGGGGGATGATTTAAGGCAGTAATGGGCAAAGTGTGGCCCTCCAGATGCTGCCGGACAGCATCCTTCAGCATTCTTCACCAGTGGCTATACTCTCTCAAGCTAAAATAAGGGCCATCCAACAATTTGCCATACTCTTGATTTAGGATTAGGAGGGTTTGTTCACACACATCCTTTTTTTGGCAGAGGAAGGTTTGTTATATCCATATTGGAGAGCCACAGAGTTACTCTTAGCTCTTTGTTCCTTCTATAGGTGGCACAGTGACCTCTGGACTGGCCATTTATGACACCATGCAGTACATCTTGAACCCCATTTGCACTTGGTGTGTGGGGCAGGCGGCCAGCATGGGCTCTCTGCTGCTGGCTGCAGGTTCGCCAGGCATGCGCCACTCCTTGCCAAATTCTCGCATCATGATCCACCAGCCCTCAGGGGGAGCACGGGTAAGTCTGTCCTAGCTGCTTCGTATCATGGATGCTGTCTAATTTTTGAGCTGCTTTCACTGTTTTCACTGTGAATAGAATGTTGCAAGGGGAAAGATGCACTGGTATCTGTCTCTCTGCCCAGTGCTTTACCAGGAGATAAAAACGTCTCCGTGGGTGACCAGGGAAACTTTCAATCTGACTCTGGCTTTCTCCCGCTAGGGCCAAGCCACAGACATTGCCATCCAGGCAGAGGAAATCCTCAAGCTGAAGAAACAGATCAATGGCATTTATGCCAAACACACTAAGCAGGCCATAGATGTGATTGGTAAGTCTGCTATGCTCCCAAGAGGAGAAAAGTAGGATTTTGAACCCTACTGCAAATGGAGGAATAAATCTCATGGGTTGGTGGCAAACAGTAAGCGAAGGGTTGATAACCATGAAAGACATCTTCTAGTTTAGCATCTTGTTTGAATTTGTTTCTTTCTTAGAGTGTAACTTTCTTTCACTGCAATATAATCAAGCTTGTTATATACCTTGATAACTTTTTTTTTTTGCTTGTTATATTTTTATTCCACCCTTCCTCCAGAGAATTTAAGGTAGCATGCATGGTGCGTTCCCTCATTTTGATCTCTCCCAACGGCCCCTTGAAGTAGGCTGTGTATGTGTGAGAGAGAGTGGCCGGAGGCCACCCAGTGAGCTTCCTGGGTCAGTAAGGAATACAAAGCAAAATGTGCTGCTTATATACCACCCCATAGCACTTAAAGCATGGGGCAGTTTCCAATTCAGTTATGCAAGATGCACACTGCCCCCCAATAAACTGGGTACTCAATTTACCAACCTTGAGAACTTAAAGCACTCTCTGGGCAGTTTCCAATTCAGATATGCAAGATGCACACTGCCCCCCAGTAAACTGGGTACTCAATTTACCAACCTTGTGAGGATGGAAATCTGAGTGAATTTCAAGCCAGCTACCTGGGATTGAACCTGGGTCATGAGTAGAGGTGGGCACGAACCTTGGTTCGGCGGTCCGGCCCAATTCATCACCATGCTCACACCAGTGTTGTGTGGGCATGGCACCCTCCTCCCTCCCCTGCACGTTCACCTGTTCCTGGAGTGATGCATGCTTCTCTCCCCCACCTCCCTAGCACAGCTGTTCTCTTGCCCTTTGCAGTGTCCCTTCCCTTTTCTGCCTTCTCCATCAGCCACCCATTCAGACGTGCCGATCTCTAGTAATGAGCAGAGTTCTGGCTGCAGTACTGTAGTTTAACCACCACACCATGAGGCTCTCCCTAGTCATAGTCCAGTAGTACATCACTCTGATCTCTTATTATAGTCTGTCTATGAGCAGCAAAAACACACAAAGAGTTTATTGAAGAGCATTGTTCCACAGTGACAGAATTCTTCTTTCTCAACTTCTGTCCCCAAAATGTTTTGATATCTCCAGTCAGCTTGAGGAGCGTTAGGAGAGCAAGCACATAACTGGACTTGTGCTGATAGGTTACTGGTCTTTTTGATGCTTTGTAAATGCTGTTAACTCTTGAACTTGGCCTTAATGGAATCTGCAACAAAATTTTGCTCTGGGGAGTGTTTCCCCCCCTTCCCCAGTTCTCCTCATCCTGACATTCCACATCCTCTGAGCTTGCTCAGTTTTCCTCAAGATGTCTTTGGTGGGTTGTTCCCTCTTAAGAAAAGCTCCATCCAGTGCTTTGGATGGGGTACTGAGGACTTTAAGAGATGCCGCCAGACACCTTGATGACACTGAGTCTGCAGAAGGTCATGTGTTCATATGGGAGGAGAATTTGCCTCCCCTCCTATTTTTAGTTCCCACTCCATCCTGATGAAGATTGTGCACTAGCATGGATATATGTATACGGGGAATGTGTTAGGAAACTACAATTTTCACCACAGAGTTGCAATGCTACATTGCCCACTTGGGAAAAAGGCTCAAGTAGAAACTTAAAGCTTTTTTAACAAGGTGTAATGATCTAGACTAACTTGAGTAATCCAGTTGTTCTTGGGCTGCAATTCCCAGAAACCCCAGACAGCTGAGCTGGTGGTGAAAACTTCTGGGAATTGCAGTCCAAGAACACTTGACTTATCCAAGGGTAAGAACTACTGGTCTAGAGCAGTGATTCTCAAACTTGGGCCCCCCCAGATGTTCTTGGACTGCAACTCCCAGAAATCCTGGCCATCACAGCAAATGGTGAAGGCTTCTGGGAATTGCAGTCAAAGAACATCAGGGATCCCAGTTTGAGAATCGCTGGTCTAGACGGGAAAGGCACAACTTCTGTTTCTGTGGGATTGATTTGCTTCTTTTGAGGAGACAACATGGAAACCTCGCATCAAACATAATTGCATCCTATGGAGTGTTCCACACTTCTGAATAAGTGGATTATATCCATGAAAGCTCACACTGAAATGCATTTATTAATTGTAGCTGCAGTACTTTTTGTTTCGTTTTCATTTTTGCACAGTTGTGTGGTAACTGGAGCCACCGTACAAACCTTGGGTAGCTAGTAATTTTCCGCACTTTCTTAAGAAACGTTGTTAAGTCATTTAACTCTGAGTGGTGTCATCTTTGCAGAGGCTGCCATGGAGAGAGATCGTTACATGAGCCCAGTGGAAGCCCAGGACTTTGGCATCTTGGACAAGGTGCTCGTCCACCCTCCACATGATGGAGAAGACGAACCAGAGCTAGTGCAGAAGGAAACTCCTCCTACAGCCCCACCATCATCATCTTCCTCAGCTGAGCCCTGAGGGGGTCTGCAGCCTCTTCTGGATCCCTGTCCCATTGGAGATTCTTCCGGCAGCACCAGTGGTTGCGAAGTGACAATGGCAGACTGACTGATCAGACGGTCTAGATTTGCCTAAGGAGACTGAGTGGCAGCGGACTATCTCTTAAGAAAGGTCCTGCCAGTAGTTGGCCAGCTGTGTTCTTAGGAGCTGGCCTCTTTCCCACTTACTCTGTAGGATCTCATTATTATCCTCTCTTTAGCTAAGTGTTTCTTTCCGCAGTTATATAGGATTCTTTAGCAGAGTGAGGGATTTGAATTAAACATTTACCTCTGTGATGTGGACATTTCTGTTTTCGTAACTTTGTGTGTTGAGCTTCCCTTAACTTCTGTCCCTTGTAACCAGTTGGAAGCTCAGGTTTGCAGGTTGTAAGTTTGCCACCTGCCAAGGTACAAAACTGCAGGAGGGGCCAGTTTACACAAATGTGTGGTGGTGGGTTTTTTTTGTCAGTTAACTGGACTTTGTATCCTGCATTGTCCTTAACTTTCACCCTCCAGCTGCTCTGGAAACTTGGTTTCTACAGAACTGCTGTGGGGAAAGCCCAGCCTGCCATGCACACATCCTCTGCCCATATCAGCCTAGACGCTCTCTCTGAGATAGTGTTGTAGTCGTCCAGTGTTGAGGAAGGTTACTTTTCTGGACTACTTCAACTCTCTCCGTATATCCCAGCCAGTATAACCATTAGTCATGCTGTCTGGGATATTCTGGAATAATACTGCAAAAAATAACTTTCTAACACTCTGACAGTTTGACCACAGCCATCTTTCCAGTGCTTTTGTAGGTACAAGGATGTTCCTCAGCTCATGGTTTTATACTTGATGCTGGGCATCAAGTATAATCCCTGCCCCCATTGCAAATTAGATTTCTCACATTTGGAAAAAACAAAAGGGTCAGTATTCTAGATTACAATAGATAAGGTTAATGGTGGGAAAAGCACCTCTGTGATCAGAATATTTCCCATGCATGAGGTAAAGTAGCACAGGCACCTTTGTATCTTTTGCTAGCTCTGCTACCTCAGGCATGGTCACCCTGCTTCTTTACTCATGGTGAATTCAAGCTGCTAGAGGAGCAAGGCATCCGTGTTCTGATATGGTAGTTAATGACTAGAATCCTATCGCCAGTTGTGTGGAAGAGGGTGGAACGACCACGTTTTCTGCCCGAGCGCTGTCCCCTCTCCCATGGAAAGTAGAGGGAACTCAAGTCACCAGCACAGCAGTGGGGGGAAAGGAAGAAAAGGAGAAGGAACTTGTTAGACAAAAAGATTTACAGAAAACAGAACAGGCAGGAAAAGCTGAGGAAGAGAGAGAGAGGGAAGAAGAAAGCGGGGGCTGAGATTTGGATGGAGAACCTCTTGACTCATGAATGGTTGGTACCAAGAAAAGAGGCAGAGCGGAGAAGGAATTATCATTCACCTAAAAAGCTTTTGTTCTGCGGGAAGTGAGAGAGGAGAGAGTGGAACAGAAAAAAATAGAAAGATAGGGCACAGAGAGAGGCATATGGTTCTATATAAGATATAATTCTTTATATAAGCATGAATGGGCAACAGGATTCTGACCAGTGTCTCGGAATACCTTGTGGGTCCTGCTCTATCATTTCTTTTGCTCCCCCAATGCACTAGTGTGTAAATGTTTGTGTACCTGCTGGTACCTCATGACTTTCTTCATGCACAGACTTTGCCCAATTAGCTCAGCTTTCCTTTCATGCTGTAAGACAGAGGGGAAAAGTTTAGGCAGTTCCACTTGCCCTGGGAAAGCTTTTGCTCCGCCCCCTCAACCCAGCCCACCTATCCACGATCGACCCCTGCTGACCAGGGAAAACCTTCCTTCTGCGAGATGCTGGTGATGAACTTCCCAGGTGGGCTAGTAGTGAATGGGAAAAAGGAGAGCAACGTGCCCCAGGATGCTGAGAAGGGAAGCCAAGAGGAAGTGGTGTTTTGTGCTTGTGGGAAGTGAACATGATCCTTAGACTGCCTCTAGGCACAGGAGCCGGGCCAGGAAAGCAGCTGGCAGCCCGGCCTACGTCAGCGCCACCGAGCCCTGTGAACGCTTAGACTAGTTTTCATTCAAAAATGGGTGGTTTCTCTGCTGGATTCCGGAGCCTGCTCTGTTTACGTGGTTGCCGCAGCAACACAATTCCAAGCCAGTCCAAGGCCACTGGTCATTCCTGCTCCAGACCAGGTCGGGGACAGAAGCAGCTCCAGGGCTCTCCCGCTTGATGGCTCTTGGTGGGGCAAGACTTCGGCTTCCACCAAGCTCTCCAGCATCATCAGCACATCCACCGTGGGGCTGAGATCCATGTCTGGAGGGCTCAGAGTAAGTATAACCAGGAGGGTTTATGGGGCAGAGTGGAGAGCAAGGGGCCCCCTCTTTTTGCCCTCCAGCCAGCAGAGAGTAGACTAACCAGAGGAGGAGGATAGGGGGACTCACGTTCCAGCCATTTCTGGTGTGGATTTGTCAGCTCTTGGTTGGGGGGGGGGGTCTGGTCCCCAACCTACGTAACATAAAAATCATTGCCACTGGAGTCCTTTAGAAGTGGGGAAAAATCTTTTTGTCCACATACCCCCAGTCCATCAGTATCCTAGGGGAGCATCCTGATTTAAGGCCATTTTTCTGATCTAGAAAAGAGGTCACCAGAATTGAAAAACTTCCTTGGCTACCTATCAAAGCAATAACCTGGCTGCTTAACGTCAGCAAGCTTTCCCTGAATGACAGGCCAAGTTTTAAAAAAAGGATGATTGTGTCTTACTCTCTTCAATCTGTTTTTGGTGTTGCTATTATTTACCGTACCTTTTTTTTTAGTGTGCCATTTATTCGATCCTTTTTAATATTTGTATATAGTACTTACTGTTGTTAGCTTTAGGTATTGTCTTTTAATAATGTCAGCCACTTTGGGTCCTTTTTAAGGAGACAGGTGGGGTAAAACTATTTTAAATAAATATTTAGTCTTCGGAATTACTTCTGAGTTTAATAAAATAACATAAAATAGAGATTTTCAAAATGGCCCAACAAAGCTCTGTGCATAGAGCTTGTGCACAGAGTCTGACGGGAAACTCTAAAAGCAAGGATTAAGAATGGGAAAGAGGATGGAGTGTGTCTGGATTTGTGAGCATTGGATATAATTTTGTCCATTGTTTAAAAATGGAAAGAAACTAAAGTCTCAAGATGGATCAGAGGCATTCTGCAAAAGGAAAAGTTACTTGTCAATGTCCAAATACGCTTCTCATAACAGGACCATCCCAGTGGTGGGTCATCAATTAATCATTTAATCCAGTTGACAATGCAAGCCCAAAATTAATTCTTGAAAAAAAGAAAAAGAAATTAAATTTATTTTTACTTGAAAAATAAAAAAATAAACCTGCAGTACAAACACCATAATCCACAAAAAAGAGAGATAGGGAAAAATAATCATTAATACAAAGTAATACCTCTTAATCCACAACTATCCTGAGATGCCTGTTTATTGTTACTTCCGCTCTTTGACATTACAAAGCCCCTTGTCCCATCCAAATATCTCTGTTTCTTGTTCTGGTGCCTGACCTTTCCATTTTTATAGAACGAGTGTTATAAAATCTCCCCATATGTTGCTAAATTAATTCATTTTTAACAATCCCTTTTTTATTTTAATCTCACATGTCGATTTATAGTTTCGTCAAATTATGGCAAAATGTCATGCTTCTTTATACCATTCACTTCATTGAAAGCTATATTTAACTTTCCAGTTTTATTGCTGTAATTATTCTTGCTGTGACTACTATATTTCTAATTAATTCCTTTTTCAACCATCAAAAATTTCTTATTCTGAGTTCCCCAGCACCATCCTGTTCCCTACCATCCTGAAACAACCTTGTGCACAGGAGTGTAAATCCAAGTGCTGGTCCTAGAAAGAATGAAAGGAGGGATTTCCCAGGAAAGAGAGAGGGCACCAGTGCTAATAATCCAAAGGATTAAAAGGGGCTTTTTTGGGGGTGGGAATAGGAATGCACACCTGTGACGGCTGCGATGATGTCACCTGCCTGTCATTGCGATGGCTGGAGTTCATCTGCCTATAGCAGGACAAGAGGTGGGACTTCAGAGGGAGGAGCTAAGGTATATAAGGGGGAGTGAATGATGTGTGAGTCAGATAGCGACTAGATAGGGACTTGGTTAGGGTCTGGTTAGGGACTTAGGGCATGTGCATGTTATGAGGTACTGTGTTAGTGAAGGTCTGAGAGAGAGAGTGTATGAGGGGATACTTTATTATATTGATTGCCTTATTTAGTTAATACAGTGATTTACTATTACTTATGTTGTATCAATAAACAATCATTTTTATTTTTAAAATCCATACCATTGTCTGTCTGTCTGTCTGTATGTATGTGTGTGGTTGGTGGCAGCGTGTAAAGAGTGTGAATGAGAGTGAAGTGGCAGCTCCTCTGTGACGTACATACATAAACAGATTTCTTTAAAAATTAAAAATAATGAGGGAAACACAGCACTACAAGCACAACTTGATTATATTTTTAATTTATTTTATTTGTATTATTGAGAGAGAAAACCTATTTAATAAACACGGGAAGAATATCAATGTATATCTAAGGGTCCTCAAAAGCAGTTTTTTATTTTTTTTTTAACAGAGGGCTGGAGAATAAGAGTCAGTCATAGTCCAAGTGACCAGGCTAAGGAGGGTAACCTCTTGACAGCAAATAAAGCCATAAAATATTTTTAAGACCCCCGAGCATTTTTAAAATTAAAAAATATGGCTAGGCCAAGCAGCCACTTACCTTTTTAATAAAAGTGGGGGAGGAAATTACTACCACCTACAAAACAAGTGTAGCCACATTTTTTAAAAAAAAAACACCTTAAAAATGCATCCAAGCATTTTCAAAGTTTTTTAAAAAATTACTAGGCCAAGTAAGCACCTATCCTTTCTTAAAGTAGGGAGGCAGGATTGTTCCCACCTATAATGCAGGGTATCACATTCCCCCACTTCCCATAAAGGGAAAGAAAACATAACAAGCTGGTACAGGTTTCAGATAAAAATAAAGCAAAAGAAAATAAAGCATTTTTTAAAAAATTGAATAAAAATAAAGCAATCAAAAAAGTGAAGAAACCTCCATCCATAAAAAGCCCCCCAATCCAAATAAAGACCTTGATGCATTTTAATGTGTGTTTATACACACATATAAACAGACTCACAAATATATATTTATATATAAATGAACACTATATATACACTTTGTGTGTATGTGTGTGTGAATGAGAGAGAGATACCAAGCCCGTAGATATTTCAGATACTGTACATAAAA